CTTACCAGAATGCTCGGAGAAATATGAAAACAATAAAATAAATATATCAAGTTATTATAATCCGTACTTATAAAGTATTTCCAAAGCAAAATGTGAGTTTCTCTGTTGACACTATAAAGTACGCTGTAATCAATCAATTCGCTCCCTTCGAATATTTTATCAAGTAAGTTATACTTGATAAAAATAGTTTTCCGCTTCATATATACGTCGAGAAGCTTGCAAAGATAAAGTCAACAGAGCAAAATGTTTGCCGCATTCAATTATTTACTGTATTTGTGTTTTATGCAGAATATGATAAAATCCATAATTTGCAAACCATCGAACGCAGTTAACGTAAAAATTTACAATATTCTGTGATTGTGTTGTGTCTCATTTCTGGAACGCTCGATCGAAAACACACCTTACCGTATTTTGTAAAACTGAAACACGAACTTTTCGTGGGCATCTTACGCTATTAATAACACTTTTGCGCTCGTTTTGCATATAAATATTATTGGCGGTTAAAATCTGCTGTTCATAATGCCTCGCACTCACTCAAAAAGCACATAAAAAATAATTTGAGTGTAGTGTGTTTATATCGAAGGATAGGTTCAATGTAAAGTTGGCGCACTACAAATTTACTTAACAGCATGTAAAGGATTAAAGGTTCAAGAAAAGAATAAATGAATGCTGTGATTCATATAACTGTCACCAGAAATGAAAACGTGGAGGCTGTAAACTGAACTTGTAAAATTTCAATGCACATAGAAATTTCAAGGCAACTCAATTAGAGAAGATAACTGTAGATACTGCGAGATATGAAATATTGAAAGGAGTAGGAAAATAAATTAAAAAAGTAGATTTTTCTTGTATTTTTAACTTTTTTAATATTTTCCGCACACCTTTGTAAGTGTTGCACTATCAAACTTGCCAATTGACCTTTAATGACTTTGAGACACGACTTTTCACCCCAAGAATGTGCTGCCGTTGCACTTTTCGCATTCACTCATGTGGCAAATTAATTTGTTTTTCGCATCTTTGTGTCAACAAAAACATACTTCAACTAATAGTGTTTTCATTTTTACCCTTTTTGCTTTCGCCGTTTCTTCTGCTTAGTTTCTAACGCCAGCTCCCACTCTCCATCCTCACTCTGCTTCCCCTCGCATCATTATTTTCCCGTTAAACACGGTGCACACACCTAAAAAAAATTTGCATTCACATTTTCGTTTACGCCAAAGCAATAATAACTTCCGCTCTCCTTAAAGATATTTCATGCTTTGGAGTCGCGTTGACACGCTTTCATTATTTATTTATTCTACGTTATTTTGGTTTCTTTTCTGTGCGCTTTATTCCAATTTTTCTTTTCTTTTTAGATCTTTCAACAGTTTTTACTTTTCACTTAAAACAACAAAACGCAAAGTACTTTGCCAACGCCTAGAGGTATGCAGTGTATTTTACGTGAAAATCACAAGTATTAACAGATGATTGTGTGTTTGTGTACTTATTGGCCAGGTGTGAATACAGTTGTTGTTTGCGACGTGTCAACGCTCTTCAAGTGGCGCAATATTGTTTTATAGAATCTTTATCAAATGAAATTCAAGTCTAAGATATACATCCATATATACAATAATATAATAAATTTATGGTATATATATGGACGAGTAGATAATATTTTATAAAATTTAATGTTAGGCGCTCGATTATAATTTGTTCTCGATTTCTATAGGGAGCGTCCATAAATTATATGAGGTGATTTTCAGTAAAATCATCTAGCCACTCTAAGCTTGTGGCGCTTGCGCACAGTAAATCATTAGGTTGTCTTGTGACAATTCGTGAGGATCGCACTTTGCGGAAATCTTTGCAATATGAATTTAGAACTATAGGACCTAGGCTATTGCTTTATATTGGTGTAGAATGCTGGTCCGACTAGGAAGAATTCGGCAAGCTTTATTTCCTCCTAATTTGAGTTAGTTTTTTAAATTAAGAAGAATTGGAAAGGGAAAGAACTGTTTCAAAGCTTTGAAACGATTTAAATAAATTTCGAGAAAAAAAACACTTAATGTTAATGTTTCATATATCCAAGGCAAATTATTAGTACTTTAAATTAGTTAACAAAAGTCGTGATATTTTATTTAAAAAGACATACATTTGATCTTTTTTTCTTTCTAAAGATATAATGAGAATAAAAAATTCAAAACAATTAATCTTGGCAAACTCTGGTGAATGACAAAGCATTTTTCGAAGACTTAAGTTAAATATCGATGATTAATACTATCTCTAATTTCGGAAACAACGACTATGTACTCGGACGACTCTGAAACCGAACACAAGGAATTTTTTTATGAATAAAATCATTAAGACCTTTCTTGTAGAGCCGAAAATTTTATATTAGAATATTACTTTTTCAAAGTCGTAGACTTGCTTTCTTGAGGCAAAACTTCAACAATCGTATTTATATTCAGGCGAAGGCACGATTAAATTGAGAACAAAGAGCTTGTTTTTGTTAGATGCTTCTTTTGAGGGCAAAAACTAAAGCTCTAGGGGCGTTTGCAAAATAAATAACAACTAAGGAAATAACGAACACCCTAATATATATTTATATATACATAGACATATACATAAACGCATGAAAGCTTATTAACCACTTAACAAAATGCAATATCTTTAGCAGAGAATAGTTTATGTGCTTACACATTCAGAAATAATCTGCTTAAGAACACGGTAGCGTGGTTAACCATTTAGCGAATTCGCCTTGACTTTATCTCACAACAGCAGATAATAGCAGATCTCTGTCGTTTTACTACTTAAAAGTCCACGCCAACGCTGTGATGTAATACTTATGTAGCCCTTGTCATGACAATATTTCGCCATTTTAAAGCTCTGCCGTCTATGCCACGAGCGCGAATGGCAAACGCGTTAATTCTTTGAAAATATTTACCCATTTTGAGTAGCGAGTTAACTCGACTAAATGTTGCAGACATTAATATGCATACTAAGCACACTGAGTGGCGCATACGAGTATTTCTCAGCGCTTGCTGTGCTCGTTTCGCCGATGACGTGCTGACAATCAACGTTGGCAGCAATGTACACGCAAATGGTGACAATGAAGTAAAATGCCAGTTAATAAGGCAGTAGTCAGTCAACAGTTAACAGGCAGTACTCAAGAGTCAGCTACAGCGACAAAACAAATTGAATTTGCTCTTAGTCATGCGAGTTTAAGTAAAAATTCCATTTTGATTGATTTCTGCTGCTGCAACCACATTCGCATTTACTTAGTCCCCATATGATATGCTCCCTCACTCATATGAAAGCAATCAGGAGCAGGAGCGCTCGGGCATGTGTAGAACTGTCTTACGTATAATCCATGGAAAATTTATCTAACTTTCATTTTACAATTCGACTCTGTAGTTTACGCGGAGGGAGAATGTTTAGCCAACTAAAACAAATACATGGAAATTAGTCGAAGATATTGATACCACAAATAAAAGACATTACCCCATAATAATTTGCAATGTCATTCTAACAGAGTACAAAAAAAGTTGAAAAGTTCATATTATATCACAGAAAAGCACTTATTGTTTAGACGAAATTAAATTTTATTACTCAACGCCCTTTCTAGTGAGCAATTTTTTGAAGTCTTACTACGGGAAATGGTCACTGAGGGCTGGAATCAAATCATTGATTTGTGACATAGTACAGTGTCATGATAAAACATCGCTATTTTCTGCTTCAAATGAGACCGTTTTACCGACCTTTCTTTTTACAAATGAGCCAAAAACGTTATATAACCGTCGATGGTTTTGCCTTTTTCAAGCTATTCGATGAAATATATTATTCCAAATTATTCCATTATTATTATTATTATATGTTATATCGAAGAAACAACTTGCACTTATTTCAATTAAACAACTAATTCAACGTTGTTGTTGCTCAATTGTGTGCTGTTTACTTTGCACAGATATTTCCATACGCAAATATTCATGAACGATATGACCAACAAATTCCTTTCATTTATTTAGAGATAAACTTTATTTACCGATCACCCAAAATAGGGTTCTTATTGTTTTATATTTACACTCATAACTTTATCTTATGGACGTCTACAGGGTTCATCAACTTGGATGCTCAAATAGCAATTTTTATCGAAACATATATCCCAATGGGCCTCCTATAAGCCTAGGTGCGTCGTCAGACAGCCACTCTACCTACCTACCTACCTATCGAAAAATATTAAGTACATATTTTTGCTCACTTGATGTGGATAGTGTTTATGGTTCTGATACGTATTAGCCAATTCCGCCCAACTTTGATATCCTCGATTCCTGTACCGGTGATTTTTATGTCACAGATGCACTACTTTCTGGTGCAAAATGTGGTTTCAAAAAGGTGTTCATATGTATTAGATGGAATTGGCATGGAATTATCTACCATGTACTAACTTCCCTCTTAAGGCCAAACTCTTAATGTGGACCTGTACTGTCAACAATTGAGTCGTCTGAAGTAAGCAATCATCCAGAAGCAGTCAGTTTGACCATTTGCTTTGGCTCTAATATGTCACCTTATAGTTCAGCCCTTGTACCAAGTGATGTCAATTTAATTCCAATGTCAATTGATTTTACTGCTGAAAAACACGTCTCAAGAAAGCTTGTGTAAATCGAATTTCTCAGTTTTTAGCCAATAGGGACGAAATTTCTATGAAATCAACAAGTTATAAAACAAAGCGATGAATATTTGACCTAAGTCGAAGGTGCAAAAAAGGTTTGGGTTTTGTCAAAAGAAATTATGTGCTTCCAAATAGTTGGTTCCTGCAAACTTCAAAGATAGAAACCCATAGATGGATAGATTTATTATTGACTAGAAAGCAGAGAAATACTGCCCCATTTTCAGCAGTGTTAAAGTAAAATCGGTAATTTAAAGTCAAACGAGCAATGTTACTCATACGACAGTCGTACTCGATTTTACTGATTATCAAAAAAAGCACTAACAATTTGTAACCCTTTCTTTATCTCTCATTATTCCAGCTTAAATAGCCACAACCAACGTTCACCCTCCTACACAAGCACACAACCATCCATATCAGTGTTTGCATGATGTCCACCCACCATCACACCATTCAACGCACCCTGTATGCGCCGACATTATTGCTCGCCACCTCTGCCGCTTTTTTAGCGCTCATCGCTTACGCTGACGCAAAATCGACGGGCATAATTTTACCACAACAACAACAGCAACCAAATACACTACTCACCGAAATTGACAACGACGAAATGCGTGACAATGATTTGGGCGATGCCGCGAACTATGACAAACGCATGGAACGTTACGCATTTGGCTTAGGACGTCGTGCCTACACATACCACAATGGTGGCAACGGAATGAAACGCCTGCCTGTCTACAATTTCGGCTTGGGTAAACGCGCCAGGCCCTATTCGTTTGGTTTGGGTAAACGTGGTGAATACGATGAAGATCAATACATCGACGACTTGTTGAATGGCAACGCTAACGATATGGCATTTTTTGGTAAGTGCGCAGAGAGGACTTTTATATCGTTACAAATGAAATATCATAAAACTAATATTTATTGTTTAAATTACGGTTTTCAGACGAGAAACGTAACCGACCCTACAGTTTTGGTTTGGGCAAACGCTCCCTGCAAGAGCCACCACCACACCGATACGGTTTTGGACTGGGGCGCCGTTAAATACCGAACACTTATGAAGACACACCACCCAAAAAACAACAGTAAGCAAATAAAAAATAAACACTAACTAACGCAAGCATACATCGGAACTGCTCGACTTTGATCGGCAAGTGAAAGCGTGCAAACTAAAAGTTGAATTAAAATGCGGGCACCATTAGACTTTTGGTGTTGACATACGAAAATAATTACATAAAGTCAAACATAATATACACATATACATACACATATATTACTATTAGTATTTACTTCTAGTCAGCAATGATCGGTAGGCTTATTTAAAGGCGAGATTGGTTGGGTGCAGGGCAGAGTTTCCACACTGTCTGGCTTTCAAATGTGCCGCATAGTCGCGACCGATCAAAATATTTTGATTTTTATTTTTACTAAATGTTAGCAAAACACTAAGCTGAATCTTTGGTTGGGGAGCATACACACATACAAACACACACATACAAGCTAAAATGTCAAATAATCAAAATCTATTGCCAATTACATTCAATTACGTGTGAATATATTTAATTTTAGAAGTATTTTCCTTTGTATGTGACTTGATATCATATTTTACAACAACTACTACTATACATGTATGTCTGTAATATTTATCGATAATATAATAATGTGTGTACAGTAATGGCATATGTAGTATATAATGCATGTACTAAATAATAGTGGACACTGAATTGTTGTTGCTGCAGATATATGAACATAATGTTAGCTTATTCTTATGTATGTATTTAACAGTTATATATTATATTTATATATATAAATATAACAAATCAAAGCAAGGCAATTGAAAACTTACTGAAAGCAAAAAATAATAATAATAATTAAAAATTAAAATTAAAGCAAAAACAAAAATAAAAAAGCAAGCATTAAAGCAAAGTAAGCAAATATTTTAAAATATAATATCTGTATAAAAATCTGTATGTATGTATATGTAGAGAGAGGTAACCTGATCTGTAGAAATGCGTAACAAAAATATAAAAGTGCTAATCAGAGTTAAAAGTATTAAACAAATATAATTATATTATATAAACTAATGCATCGTCTTTTTAATAAGTGTGGTTAAACGTAAGTATGCTATATAAGACTGAGAGGAAAGTTAGGTTATGACGCTAAAACGTGTGCTCTAACAGACTAAGTGAGATTTTAGAATATGATGTTGCTTAAGATGGTTTTCTAGTCCAAAACTTAAAAACAAAATTGGTTTTTTCATATTTAGATAATTTAAAAATTCTGCTCAAAAGGATATTTCGAAATTCGAAGTATATTAAAAGTTACAGCCATTTTATTGTCATCGCAACTCAGCTGGTTTAGGCAGTCTTAAAACTTTGAACATTTTTTTCTAATCTTTGTTCGAAGCGTTTGTCAAAAAGTCTTAAGTTTTAATCAACCGATTTACTTGAAAGTTGGCATGAATTTTCTTTATGTATAATTTTATAGCGAAAAGTGACAAATAAAAGTCGAAAGTTACTGATCAGCTGGTATGAAGCTAAAACCTCATGACACGATAGCTTCTTGCCGCAATCCAAATCGAATAGGCCCAAGTGCTCGAGTCAAATCTTGAGAAAGCGGGGTAACTGAGTAGAGAGTGATAGTGAGGATATCAGAAGAAATGTTCAACTTGAAAGCATGTAATAGATTAAGAGAATCATGGCTTAAGTTCCGTCACTAGCAGTCAAGCATGCTGTCGACCTTCTCTTTCAACCAAAGAAACCAAAACAAGAAAAAACGGCAACTTTTGCTGAACAGAAGCTAAAAAGCCTTCACCGTTTCATTTTCTACAGCATAAAAGGGTATAAAAAGATTTATCTTGATTTTGAGCCATCAGTTTGAATGGCAGCTATGTGCTATAGCGGTCTAAACCGAATAATATGTTCGGAACTAGCGTTGCTTTGGACCATAATATATGCCAAATTTAGTGAACATATTTGCCAACCAAGTAGTCCGTACAAGAACTTGATTTAAACCGGTCAGTTCGATATCGGCGATGGCTTAATTGACTCGATTCGTCACGTTGATCATGTTCATTGTATATACTTTATAGCGGTTTCTTTGTGGGGGATATTACTTTCCAGGGTATCGCAAAACTTTGAATTAACCAAAGACACTCAAGAGATCACCTCATATTTAAAGGACTAATTAAATGTGTGGTAAACGAAAGAGAGAAATATGTTTTCACAATCAAAAATATTTTAGATTATTCCGACTTGGTCTCCAACTTTACATACATACATAGCTCATTTGGATTATGTAAAATAACTAACAAGACAAATTAATATCGTTTTCTAAAATTTCAGATCAAATGAAATCCACAGATTGGTTTAAGCATGCCTTGGGAATAAATGATCCTATTTTAAGGTTTTGAAAACCAGATAGCAATTTTTAATCCCAAAATAGAATACCTTTTCCTTTTAAAATGCAATCCATATTTAAATTTATTAACTGAAAATCTTGAAATATCTGAACAACATATAATATAATAATATTTTGGAAAAAAAACAAACAAAGTTCCCGAATATAGCAGTGTCAGCAGAGCACACTCTTGATAGCTTAACCCGAAGCGGTAGAGTTCTGTTGCGAGAGCAGTTGCAACAGACGTAGGATGAGGAAGAAGGTACGTCCTTCAGGTTTTACTCTATCATCTTCCTCCGATGAAGACTCGCTACTGCTACTGGACGACGAGTCGCTGCTTGAGGATGTGGCTTCTATATCAGGAATTGGATTTACAAGTCTTGCTGTAAAAATTAATTTTAAATAGCATAAATGAGTACCAGTGCAAAAGACTCTTTGACTTACGAGGATTGATGTTGTACGTTGGGAAGTACAAAGCAGGCTCCGAACCAGGTTCCCCGACATTTACGTTTTCTTTGGGTGCAGCGAATACAGCACAGAACGCTCCAACAAAAAGAGCGCTACAAATCAGTACTAAGTAGGACTTCATTTCTGGATTTTTCAATGCTCTCCAATGACTATTCTGCAAAATATTGTTTACATTTTGGTGCAATGAACGGTACTTATATAGCAAGTCATAGTAATTAGCCCACTATAGTGGTAGTTACTAGCAAGTAATCAATCATTTCTATTGATAACAATGGACTTCGTTACAAATACTTGAAAAAATATTTGCTTGAAGTATTTAGCTGAATTCATGTAATGAGAGCAAGGCTAAGGGAATAAGAGGCAAGTTCAGTGAGACGAGTTATTTTATGCAAATGTATCTGATTTGGAATAACTGCATAAACGTGAATTAATTATTATTATATAATATAGTGTTCTGTGAAAGGTTTTTTCGTTGTCAATGTAGTATTTTAAGACTCAGATTTCGTAAATGGCAGAAAACCTTTTTATCGTAAAAGAGCGAGATAGCATTATAATATCTGGGAAGGCAAGGCCGATAGCAACACTTTCGTCCCATTACTTTTAATAGGGTGTGTTGATAGAAAAATCTAGAATAATAGAGATAAAGAGTACGCTAAGTGTTTACTGATACTTTTTTCGGTTTCGACTGTGACAATTATGACCAAGAATGCAGCAACAAAATACAAGCGTGACGTAATGAGTTTAAGAGCGAGAAGAGGCAGCATAGAAAAACTGTTTACAATTTGTAGGGCATTTGACAGTTTTCTGTGTTACCTTTTCTCATTCTTATACTCATTAGGAGGATCCACAGTGGTTTCTTTCGTTTACGACGTTATGTGCCATAATCCTTCCTCTATCATTCTGGATGAAAGGCAACATATTTTTATACCCTGAACAGTGTATATTAAGTTTCGCATGGAAACGTCGGAGACCCTATAAAGTATATATAATATATTAATGATCAGCGTTATGGGCTGAGTCAATTTAGTCATGTCGGTCTGTCTATATAAACGCGAACTAGTCCTTCAGTTCATGAGATATCGAACTAAAACCTTCGCGGCTCTTTTCCGGAACCGCCGTTATGGGACCACTAGAGGATATAGCTGTCATATAAACAGAACAATCAGAATAAAGTGCTTGTATGGAAAAATTTTTTCTTCGACAATATATCCTCACGAAATTTGATATCCATTATTGCCCAACGCAACAATACAGTCTCTGAATAATTTTTTTAGATCGGATCTCTGTAACATATAGCTGACATATGAACTAAATGATCAAAATAAAATCCTTATATGGAAAACTATTTTATTTGTGAAGGGTATTATAAGTTCGGTGCAACCGGAAACAACTTTTTTGTTGTTTTAAAATACAATAATATTTTATTGGATCATATTTTATATACAATCGACCCTATGGTATACAAGTACAGCTATAACAATACACTCAATCATCACTCTTGAAGTAGTTCTCCAATACATTTTTAACATATCCACTCACATTTACCTGATAATGTCTTTTGAAGTCTGCAAACGACGATGACAACAAAAATATATTGTATTAATAACGATTATGACTTGGGAGTATTAACCAGTCCAAATTCATTGGGACCATCTTAAATCCGATTTGGAAATATTTCTATTTGGGGTGTCCTTTGAAGTATGAATATGAGGTTCACTACATACTTACGACGAATTCTCTATAACCATTTAAGCTATTTACAATTTGAGGACAGCAATAATTATTTCACCTCTGGCAATATCATCACCACAGAAAGAAAGCGAGCCTTACAGCATTAATAAATTTTCTGGGACAGTAATTATTTACTGTAGCAGTGCTTAAAAACTTCATCGTTTTGCCGAGTAAATTGTCAATACATTCTTTTTGAATGGACTTCATAACTCCCGTCATCTTTTTGGAGTGTGTTTTAAAGTAAAATTCACTAAGTTGTGACGTCAATAACAGAAGAAAAGGAATTTTTCAATATAAAATGCTTTTATTGGTAGCATTTATGATTCATAGCCCAACCCAACCCCAACCAAATAAAACTTTTTAATAAACACTGTATATTTTATGCTTAATTTTTTTTTATTTGCTCACACTGATTTACAATAATATTCATACTATTTTTATAAAGAAAAAATGAATAACCAATTGTTAAAAAAAAGTAGAATTTGGTTTCGAGCTGATTTAAGAATCAAAAGGAAACACCACGTGGCTCTATTACAAAGTGGCGCCTTGACATCTTCATCCTGCACACGGGGGTTAGCATTGCCAGCTATAATAAAATATACCTTTTTCTTGTGCATTTGCCGGCGGGGGAACGGCCATTAGGGCCAATACGATCATGACTGAAAAAATTTAATAACAAATACAGTTTTATTGCTAAAACAGTGTTATTCGACAAAAGTTTGCTAAACTATTTACCAAGAATGAAAATTTATACACCCTTCCGTTACAATTTCCGCTGTATGAATCGTTCAATACCGTTACTATAATCAATCATTCGAAAGATAAATATGACATTTCGTAAACACAATTAGTTGGCATGAAAAACAAGTTTCCCAAGATCGTCATTGCACATTTTCTCAAAAATACCCTACGGAAAATAAAAGTGGTATAAACATTTTCATAGAAGACTATGTTGGCTTAAGATTTCGATTTTCTTCCTTATAGTCGTCTATTTGTATAAAGTCAGGTATAAGCGCTCATATTTGGTATCTGAGGTCCTTGAAAAATTATAAATTCTTTCGTTTTAAGACGAGAGGTGCCGATGCCGACCATTGTTTTATGGGGGCTAAGGCAAGGTTTCAGGCGATTTTATCCATTTTAGGCACAAAGATGCTCACTCAATTTTGTTTAGATAACTCACTTATTGGCCGATATATGCGGTATACAGTCAGCCGGAAGTTCGACAATCTTTACGCGGGAAGAAACTATTGACCCGATTTAATTCATTGTAAATTAAATTTCTTAAAGAACATTGTATATTTATGCTTGTAATTTTTATTTTATTTGCACTAGGGCACAAATATCTGGTATCTGGGGCTTGAACAGTTACGGTTCGATTTTGACATTTTTTAGACTTGATATGTCATACCTTAAATGCACTATTGTTGCAATACCAGTTAAAAACTATTTGAAAAAAAGCGGCTGGGGAGTTTTTCTCACCCGCCTTATAGCCCAGACCTAGCCCCTTCTGACTACCATTTGTCCAGGTCGATACAGAACGCAGAGGGTATCAAAAATTGGCTTGATTAATTTTTGGCTGTACTTTGAATAATATTATTGTACATATTTTTCTTAAATAAACGTTCAAATTAAACAACAAAAAACATTGCACGAATATAGTATTAAAACTCAATTTTTAAATTAAATTTCTTAAAGAACATTGTATATTTATGCTTGTAATTTTTATGTTATTTGCTCTCTTTCTGATTTACAATAATATTTGTAATATTTTTATAAGAAAAGCAAAACAATTGGTATAAAGTGTTAAATAAAGTAGAATTTGGTTTCGCGTTGACTTAAGAATCAAAAGGAAACACCACGTGGCTCTCTTACAAGTGACGCCTTGACACCTTCCTTTTGCACACGTGGGCGAGCATTGTCATCAGAGCCAACAGCTGAAATAAAATTTTATTAACTGTGCTTTTAAGCAAAAAAAATTTAGTTACAGAAAAATGTAATCGGACTTACAAGAAATCGGGAAGAAGGAGCTAACAGATTTTTGTATTTTTGCTTCATTTTCGTCTTCAACAATTTCGGTTGGAATAGCTGTTGGACATAAGAACTCTGCAGTATAAAACAACGTAACAGTGAAGTAAAAGTAAACTCATAACAAATGAAAACGTCGATAAACGGTTAACTTACATTTAAAGATGGGGCGTCTTGTCAAATTGCGTGGAGGAACTGCGTAAAATAGAAATTCAGCTTAAAGGTAGACATACAGTTTACTACATATGTATGTAGTATAATACTTACAAAATGATGGCAAGCGACGACCAGTAAAATTTCCAATTATGCTGAATGGGTCAACTAAAATTTGAGTAATAGGAACTGAAAATTGATAAATAGTTCATTAGTTTATCATATAATACTTACAGAATGGGACAGAGAATGGTCGGAAGGGTCGGCCAGTACAATTTCCAGTTAAATTAAATGGGTTAGCTAAAATTTAAATAAAAGAAATTGAAATTAATACCTTCCAGTATGTATATTTAGTAGTTACGCACAACGGAAAGGTCTAAGGAAGGGTCTGAAGAGTCCAGGTCTAAATGGTCCTGGTCTAGCAGATGGAGGACTTGGGGGTTCGGGTTGTTGTGGTGGCTCCTCGCTTGCGCTCTCCCCTGTAAAATACATATAAAAATAAAAACATTGTTATTAAATATAAAATTTTTAAGGCAATTTACCTTCTCCTTGCGCATTTGCCGGCGGTGGAACGACTAGTAGGACCAACACGGCCATTATGGCAAAAATTGATAACAGATAAAGCTTCATTCCTAAGACAGTGTTTTTTGATGTACTTACTACTTTTGAGAGCTATTCACCAATCATGAGAATTTATATACCTTTCCGTTACAATTCCCACTTTATGAGTCACTCAATACCGTTACTACAATCAATCATTCTAGAGATAAATATGACATTTCGAAAACACAATTCGTAGGCATGAGAGACAAGTTAGAAAATTTTTGCAGTGGAATTTCCCAAGAGAGTCATTACACATTTTCTTAAAAACTACCCTGTGGTAACAATTATATTTTCCCGCAAAAAAGTGTCATTAACATCCTCACAGAAGACTACTCGTATGTTGGATTAAAATTTCGATTTTCCTCCTTATTGTCTTCCATCTGTATAAAGTCAGCTATAAGCACTGTTTCTTCATGTTCGGTATGTGACGTCGTTGAAAAGTTATAATTCGTACTCGTTCGTTTTTAGATGAGAGGTGCCAATGCCGATCATTTGCAAGCCTTAGCATGAGAATTCTAAGATACTGTTATGCACCAATTTAATTTTCCAATTTCTATGTCGATTTTGTCAATTTTATAAAAACAAATAGATATTTAAATATATCTATCTTGATTAGTATTAGGTGTTACAAAACCGTTAGGTAAATTTCACGAGTAAAAACGTTAACTTCGTCTGCACCAAGGCTATAATACCCTTTAAAAGTGCATTTTTATAGAAACTATATGCATAACTATGGTAAAGCATAAAAAAATAACCGTCGACAAGTCGAACTAATGCTCTTTATCTTAAGGGGGTCATCTCGTGCAATGGTTTCAAAAAATCGATTTTTATATATTTTGCATAAATCCAATCTAGAGCATTCATAGAATGTGCTGGTAAGTAATTTTCCAAAATTGAATGTAGTTGGAAACTTCAAAAAGCCAAATTTGTTTTTTCATTTCACTATCAAAAATTCCGAAAAAAAAACCTAAAAAAACGTCCTTTACGCGAGATGGCCCCCTTAATTTTTATCCGTCAGCTTATAAGGCAGCTATACGCTAGGATGGTCCGATCGGATATTATACCGTTACATTGGGCAGTAATGCATGCCGAGTTTCGTTAAAGTATTGAGTTTGATCGATCAGTTCGTATGTTATATGCTATAGTGGTCAAATTTGAAAAATTTGTTCGAAGATTGTAGCGTGTTCTTGGGCAATAATATGTGCCAAATTTCGTGAAGATATGTTGTCAAATAAAAATGTTTTCGATAGACGACTTGAGTTTGAGTATAACAGATATGTCCTATAGTGGTCCGATATCGGCGGTTACGACAAATGAGCATCATATCAGAGGGACGACTTCGCATATATACAGTCGGACCAACAACACGCTCATAATTTATATATGTATATACTCTACTAGGGTATAGGATGTTTCTTTCTGGGTGTTACAAATTTCGTAGAAAAGTTATTATACTCTATTCAGGGTAAAATTATATTCAATGCAAAATGTTGCGAGTGATAACTTGCTATTGCAACAAATATTTATACACATTTACTGTAGAAAAATGTTGCTGTGCACGCGGCGTAACAATTGTAATTGAATCAGCAGTCAAGAAGAAGACCAAATGTAAACAAAGTGTATTGATTGCTGTTTCTTCACATTTAATAATTTTAACACAAAAATACAATGCAAGACGGCGATGAACTTACCAATAATACAAATTTAGTTTGTAAAGTATGTGGGGAGCGGCAATTTACATTACGAGAAGGTTTCTTTTACTGCCAGGAATGTGGTACGAAACAGGAACAAGTGCGTGCTGTGGAAGTAGAGCAAGATGAAGATTTTTTAGAGGGGAAACAACAGAAGAAGATAAAACTAAAAACGCTCAAAGCTGAAAAACGTAAATAAACTATCAATCTTTAATAAACATCAAATATATATTTTTAATATCTTTTATTTTCTTTGAACAGCAAATCTCACATCTTGGGAATGTTATAATTACATATTGCGTGGACTTGTCAATGATCTGCTATCATTCGGTGCCAAGGAAGAGTTAAAATTAATGACACTTCAGCTGTGGGCAGCTTACCTGCGACGAAATGAAGTAGCATTCTTTAGTAGAAAACGTGTTGAGTTGCCGAAATTAGGCGTACGATATTTGCAGAGGTTAGTAGATATATTGAGTTAAGACTTTTCAAAGGAATTCATACTATCTATTTATTATGTTAAACTATATATATATATATAATTATGTCATGTTCATTTGTTATCGAAATTATACTTCATCTTTTAGAGATGCATCTGCTCTTTATAACCATGCACTTCAACGACGCGCCCTCAAACGAAAACGTCGAAGAACTGACGATTCGGGCACATCCGTGGTCAGCAGTGATTCGGTAAGCATGCGCGAATTCCGCAAAAATCGTCGAAAATTCGATGAGTCTTCTTATAGTCTGCATTCATCGATGAATTCCACCGATGTATCGCACACTTCACGCTCTTCGGCGAATACTTCAAGCACCGGTACGACAAGTCGTGCTATCAAATTAGAATTTTCGGCGCTTGCTCGAAAACAACTTAAAAAAATGATGCCAGCGAAGCATATTGAAAAGCATGCATTAGATTCGGAGGGAAATTTAAAATGTCACAATGTAAAACCGCTGGCAAAATCAATAAATCGTGCAGATCATGCGCTACTCACAATGAATACACGACAAATATTTACTATATTAGCCATAGCGCTGAATTTGATCGGTGATGACATACAATTGTGTGATTTGGTGCGCTTCATCGACGAGGAGCATGTAAGCACAAAAAATGTGCTACCCTACTTTCCGGAGAACATCGCGCCGCATTGCAAGGAAATGTTGCAAGAAATACAATTTTACAAATTTCCTACGAAATACAATGATAAGGTTTGAAAATCACGTATTTATTTGAGACGCAATATTTCATAAATCGTTGGATATATTTACAGGCATTACGAGACCATATTGAGTTACTTTCAAAGTTTATAAACATAAAGACCTTTAATCAGCCAGATTTAATAAAACTTACTGAGCGTTATGCAACTGAACTAAATCTACCATCCGATATAACAGCCTATGTAGAGCGTTTGATAAACTTACTGCCACCACAAATGCGTACACGCGTTGATTATGTTTATCCAGCATATGAAGCTCGCGCTATGGCTTATATAATATTGGTATTCAAATTGCTATTCGGTCTCGATGGGCATACAGAGAAATTAATATCGCGTGCCGCCAAAAAAACTAATCAGTGCTTGCAAAATCTCTCTGAAAAAGGGCGTAGTGCAAATGCCAACCTCACACCACCGCCGCTACTATTTGTATGGGAGGATTGGGTAGAGTTCATCGAAATGCGTAAAGTTATAGTTTCGTATTATAACTCAAATTTTTGCCGACAATTCAAACAATGTCAAAGCACTACACAACTGCTGGAGGAAATGGAAGAGGAACAGCACACAAAATTAGAACAAGCAGCGCTTACAGATGAAGGCGCGACAGCAGAAAATGATTCCAAAGTCACCACCATGCATCGCATATTCCAACAATTTTTGGATGATCTCAATACCGCAAATCCAGCAGAACGCAGTGGAACTATAGCATTTGCACCCAGCCTAACACCAGCTCATTCATATTTCAAACGCATTTTACTCTATTGTTCCAATGCCGGCGCGAACGCCGCCTACAAGATACCAGAATTTATGCGTATCGATCACATGCAACGCACTGTGGCGCCATATGTGCACTCGAAGGACTTGAAGGAATATTTCAAAGCGCACAAATGGCAGTTAATGGTACGGCGTTTGCCGTGCACTAAAGAACGCAACTGTATCGGCATATTTCGCCCGTCGAACGACAATAAAGATCGTGTTAAGCATGATATTTGCAACAAGAAGGCTGATTTCAATATAAGCGAAGACAAGTGGTTGGCATCCATTGAGGAAGAGGATCTCATTGAGGAGCTGGAATTCAAAACAGAATATGATAACTACGAGAAGAACTATGTGAAGAAGCTGCAGACAGATGCGCTAAAGCGACTTCAAGCTGTGCAAATACCTGCCGTAAATGTAAAAGCTGCCTCAATTAACAATCAGGTACACATAAATATATAGAGTAGTTTAATAAAGAATATTATTTATTAAATGTATTTTAGGTGCCGCGTATTGTAGATCCTGATTATGAAAACTCTATACCCGCGCCACCAGACAAAACTTTGGTGACAAACGATGACCTCGACGTATCTGCGCTGCATTCAATTAACGCATTCAGTGAATGTGATATGGAACCGATCAAAAAATCAGATGAGCCATTAATTTTACAACCACGTAGAGATCTTAATCAAATAAGTCTCTTCGAAGGTCTCAGCGACGATGAAGCTGACACGGTAGATGCAAATGAAATCGATTGCAATAATGCTGTCAGCGCAGAAGAACGCACATGCACTTTTCTTACAACAAATATGGATTGTTGGACTCTGCTGGGCTATTCACATAACCTCAATAGTTGTCAGAAAAAATTATTGCAAAAAAAGTTTTCGCGTTCATTTTTTTGGTTGCTCGAAACTTGCGCTCAGTCCATCAACATTGATTGGTGCATATTATATGAGGAGCTACTGACCCTTGAGCTAATGTTTGCATATGGTATTGAAGATTTGGAATACTTTCGCGATTGTATACGATTTAAATACAATAATCCAATCAAAGATTTTAACATGATGATCAATTCATATAGAGAGCTGTGGTGAAAAGGATTTTGGTTCCGATTACATACTTCAGCCTTTACTCTAATCAGAGTAATTCTCTGTTTTCGGCCGCAAAGGACGCAATTTGGTGACAATTATATATACATATATATTTTCTTACTTAATTGATAGGTTATTTAATGATTTTTAACGCTCTTTCACAATAATTATTATATCCTAAATATATGTAATTGTAATAGTTTTCTTTTTTGTTACCCCCATGATTTTATACATTTTTATGTCCCGAATAAAGTTTTCCATGAAGTTTGTAACACCCAGAAAGAAACGTCGTAGATCGTATAAAATAAATTTATATAAATGATCATAATCATGATAGGCTGAGTTGATTTAGCCACGCCCGTCTGCCTGTATACACACGAACTAGTTCCTCAGTTTTAGAGATATCGATCTAAAATGATGCTGCTCATTTATCGGAACCACTATAGCATATAGCTGCCATACCAACTGTACGGTAAAAATCATGCCCTTGTATGGAAAACTTTTTTATTTGACGAGATATCTTCATGAAATTTCACACGTAATTTTGTTTAAAGCAACGGTATAATCTTCGTAGAAATTGTTCAATCGAATCACTATAGCATAGCTATGGAAACCTTTTTTATACGGTATAATCTCCGAAGAAATTGTTCAGATCGGATCGCAAAAGCACATAAGTATGTTGCTGCCATACAAACTGAACTTTAATCGATCAGTTTGAATGGAAAATTTTTTTATTTGACAAGATACCTTTGCGAAATTTGGCATAAAACAACGGTACAATCTTCGAAGAAATTGTCCAGATCGGACCACTATATAGCTGCCATACAAACTGACCGATCAACATCAAGTTCTTGTATGGAATCTTTTGTATTTGTGAGGGGTATTATAGGGTTTTCAAGTATGTTTAAAATTTTTATAAATATATTTTCATGAGCTCAGGAAAAACTCAAAAATAATGCCTACCCCGAAGCCGGCTAAATAATACGTACTTGGATAATGTTATTGTTGTTGTTGTAGGGGTAGAAAACCTACCTGTATATACTGATAAATTTGCTAGACATTTGCATATAAGTATATGTATGCACATAATTTTTTGTCTATTACTAAGCTGAAGATATCATCGTAATTAAAATCGTATTTATTAATTAAAATTAATTGAATTTTGTGTTTCTACGCCAAGTGAGGCAATTCCCGCTTTAGCTGTGATATTCCATCTGTCTTATGTTTACCATTTCCTTAATGAAGCACACATGCGTATATATGGTACATAAATAAATATATTTATATATGTACATATATGAATGTGTATGACCAAAAAACCACAACAGACCACATAGTAATTAAAACAGATATTTTATAAATAACGTTGCGCAGAGCGATGCAACAGTTGCTTTTATTTACAAGAGAGCATTGGAGAGTAAATTTAAAAACGAAGAGCAAATATGAGTCATGTTGGAAACAGTCACCGACGTTCCCCTCTTGTTGTAGCGGCAGAATTTTGTCGAGTTGACAGTCCTTGGACGGAAAAAATTAGGGTCCGTTCCGGTTACGTAGACCCGACTGTTATGGAAACGGTCCCCTCTTCCATACTCACCGCCCGTATTAAACAAAATTTGTCAAAAGTTATGCCTGTAGTTGCAACCATGGATAATGTTGCAACACAGAAATCGGTTGTTTTCTTTTGTTTTCATTTCACCAATGTTGCCATTGTTCTATTTGTATACACGATTTTTCACACATTTAGCTTTTTAGTTATAATTTTTCATAATGTAAAAGCTCAAAACTAAAATTCATCTTTTAAAAATAGTCTACCTATTGATATATAATTGTATTCGACAATAATTTTGAGTTAGTTTAAGAATATTTCAAATATATTCAAGTTTATTTTTTAATTACTACAAAATATTGAGACTGGCAACCCTGCGTTGCAAGAGAGCAATCAGCTCACTCGTTTCTACGGAAAAAATACAATTTTAGGGAATATCCTGCCGTACGGTCGGAGAAGGGGACGGTAGAAACGGTGGTGAGTGTTCATTTACATTGCGCTCTCATAAGATAGGTTGTTGTTGTTGTAGCGGCAGAATTCAGCCGATTTGATCGTATCAGCTGATTCAGTCTACGGTGTTGCGTCATTGACTGTTTCCAGCATTACAGCAAGTGAAAAGCCAATGCATGAAGGATTTATGCATGTTTTTTATTCCCTCTTTTTGTTGTAACTGTAACATTGACAAGTAGGTGAAGATGGAGCTATGAATGTGTATGGACGCCCAGTGGGAGCAAAAGTACGTGTGTATGTATGTATATATGAATAAAAGTGGCCAACCGTTCATTAACAAAAATAGAGTACATAGCGCTGAGATTACACTGTGCAACAAAATTACACTTCTATGAATGTGGTCAAAAATATTATTACGACCTATAATGCAAAAAAAAAAATTGTTATAACACATTTGTTTACCAGCGCTCTGGTTATCTGAAATATATAGAAACATATTCTACTTGTTAGATCCATGCGCCGATAGTCATTAAAGTATTTTTATCTACCTTTTCAACCAAAAACGTAAAAAGGCTGTTGGTCCAAAAAATAAACTGCTTAATAATGGTCATTTGCATTATCAGTATCTTCTATCTATCTTTAATGTTTACTCAAAACTACTACAAATTCAAGATGGACATTATTATTGGTGATAACTTTGATATAAGATACAATTTAATAAATTTCGTTTAAAAGATGAAAATTTTCCTGAAAATTATGTATTGTATAAACCTTATATGATATATAATGAAATTATGATACATATGTACAATATATGGCCGTTGGGTTAATGAATAAATTTTAGATGTTTACTTTTACAAAAATCGTAATTCTAGCTAATTGGTTTCCAGTGATTCCGCTATGACCAGACACCGAAACGAATCTGATACTGAAGTATCTTGATACAATTTCTAGTGAAGGCAGACACTCTTTAACTAACTTTGAATACACAGTTAGCGAGCTCAATGCTAATACTGCCGTTCTGCTGCCGTAATGAATGCTTACCTTCTTGAAAAAGGCAGTACTTATAAGCAGTAAATCTAAGCTTGCCGAACAACTTCTTACAAAAACAGCCAGGAGAAATATTTCTTTTTCAACTCAGTTTTTAAGGCCCACACACGTTAACAGTCGCTTTTGAGATTTACTTACCGAATAAATCTACATGAGCTACTAATTTATCTAAAAGCCAAAATTATTACCTTACTTTAAACTGTGGTTTCATTTCTTTTTTACAACCACTACAGCACAGTGTAGCATTAGTTCAACTACTCGTAAATGATATATGGTATATGTGCTATATGAGTATATAACATGAGTAACGGGCAGTGACAGGCTGAAGTTAAATGCTCACCATGCATACCGTACAAACAGCTAAAGAGAATCGTGAAATAAGCTGGTAAAACAAAATATTTTATATTTTTGTTGTTGTGTTTAATGTTGTTGTAGTATTGGTATTGGTATTAAGACATTCGGACGTTTTCTGTATTTTTACAATTTCAAAAAAATCAGTTTCGTTGGCAATGCGACTCGCGAAACAACAAAATCGCAAACGCATAGAAGAAAGAAGGAAAGCAAAGGAAGTATTTACATACATACATATGTAAGCATATATGCATGTACATATGTGTATAAGTAAAGTAAGGAAAACATTTGAAAGCATAGACAAATGTACTTGTAAACATGTATGGAACAAAGCAAAATTAGTTGGAGGCCGAAAATGATTTCACAGACAAAGTAATCTCGTGAAACAGCGGTACGTTAGAGGCCGAAAAAAGTGCATAGGGAAAAGATATAGCGCTGAAATGACGGCAGCAACAGGCGGAAAGGAAGTGCTTCGATGTGCATGCTAGTGCGTCGAGAATAGTTTTTTTGAACCAATGAGAAAAAAGAAATAAAAAAAACGGAAATTATAAATGAAAAAAGCTAATATTTTTATTATTTGGCGTGAAGGATAATTGTAAAAAAAAAGAAAAAAAAAATTTCTACTAAAAAAAACTATACAAATAAATGTAAACAATGATAAATACACAATTAAAATTAATAGACTTATGAATGTCATGAGTAAATATATTTCCGGTATTAAAATATGAACAAAACGTTTTGAAAAGAAAACTGAAAATAACATCGAAAATAAATAAAAATAGCAATACTATATTCTGTATACAAATTTTGTGGTAATTGATTTTAAAAGTGAAAATAAAACATTCTAATAATTTTTGAAGTGCTGATAATATGAATACTATTTAGTGTAATAAATTAATTTTTTGCACTTAATGCGGTTTTTGAAGTTAAAAAATAAGCGGCTAAAAATAAACTATTTATTTTAATAATTCAGTGTTGATGATGATTGACTCAGTTGGTGTTCATTAAAATAAAAACAATAAACAATGTTTGGTGCTTTCATCATTGGCCAATAATATAAAAAAAATGTTGTAAACGATCGGTTTATTAAAACTTTGCGGGCATTTAGAATAAACAAGTATCAATAAAAACTTTTTCTTTAACAAATTGTAAATATCAGTTGTAAATAAAACTATTATTTATATTTCAAATGTGAGAAATGGTATGGTATTGTTTTATTATAATTTCTGGTTTCTGGATATTAAAATAATTATAATATATTTAAATTTTTTCAACTATTAAATAATTTAGTTACATTTTTTTAATGAGCTGAGCTTAAAAATTAAATATAATAAACTGAGCTTGGATAATAATTCAAAAATTAGAACGAAGTTGATCAGTTAGAGCCGTAAAATTTCGTAAATTAAAGTACTTCAAAAACAAAAACAATAAAAAGCAAAGTTCACATAGAAAAAACTAAAAATGTGCAAAACTAGTAAAAACTATTAAAACGTACTTTGCCACGACGCAAAAACAATCCCTAAATAAAAAAATAAATAAATAGTACAAAAATTGGATAATACTTAAATAAAGCAAACTAAACAAAATATTTATTTTCTTAGCAACTAAACACAGTGGTTGTGGAACTCAAGCCCCGAAAAAGAATAAAAAAAACGTTAAACAGATATAAATACGTACGAAAGACAGACGCAGGAAAAAATAATAATACAAGAACCATCATTAAGCTTACATACATACATATTTATAATCTGTATATTTCATATATGCACGACTTCCACGTGCCGTGTGTTTTCAATTATCGATTGGTGTTAATTTAAAAATTGCTTAAAACTAAATGAAATTAAGTGAGACTGAATTTGAATGCCAAAAATACACTTGAATATAATTTGGTAAAAAGCGCACAAGAAATAAATATAATATAATTGGTATTCAGCTGACATAGCGAATTTGCTGCAAGACTCTGCTTCACACAACTTCCATTGCTGTTAACAGCTGCTTCAAGGGATAATTAGCCTCGGTAAGTAAAAAATGCTTTGTTCGAGTGTATGACGTTATTTTTAATGTATTTATTATGTGTATCATAGTTATTGGCAAAGAAAAGTAAAATGTGACCATAAAGCATTATAGTTTGACTCAGGCTCCCCGCTATGAGGGACCACGATTTATTCACAATTTGGACTAGAAACTTGAAAGTCGGAAGTCCGTGGCCAAGTAACGGCAAAGTAACTAAGAAATTTCAGACATCAAAAATCGTGTTAAGACGTGAGAGTCAATTTAATATACTCTCGTACATATGTCAGACCACTTCAAAGCGCAAAATATATAAATCATAATTAATAATTAAATAAGCGATTTGATGTTCCTCAAAACTATTTCCTGTTTTTCGGCGAATAATAAACAATTCCACACTCTTGGCTTTCCCATACGCATTTGTAACATAATTTTTGATCAATTTACCCCGAAATTCAGCCAAAACACCAAAATTACCACTACCAGAGTATACATATGTAGATCAAATTCCCAGGAGAAAGAGTAGTAAAAAAGTTTTACTTTAGCCATTTTGTTTCGATTAGCTGGTGAATTATTGTGCTAAGGACTCAGAAGAATGGAAGATATCTACTGTATAATTCAGTATTTTAGTGTCATCTAACTGTTTAACCCTACTCGGAAACCCTATAAAAAATATAGGAGTCGATTTATCCATCTCCGTCTGACTGTAAATACCCGAACTAAGGCCTTAATTTTTAAGATATCGATCTGAAACGTCCTGCTCTCCGCTGCTCATTTGTCGGAACCGCCAAGATAGGACCACTATAGTATGTAGCTGTCATACACACTGACTTATTTGAAAAATTATCTTCACTAAATAGATTATTATGCAAGATAATACGATCATATTGTTGAGATCGGACCACTATAGCATAAAGCTGACCGATTAAAATCAAGATATTTTTAAACGCTTTTATGCTATAAAAAATGCAACTGTATACCATTCACAGTTTTGGTACAATCGAACGTTAACGTTTTTTCTTATATTAATTTGAAATTACTATCTTTACTATACAATTTCCATCTTAAAATCAGTTTAAATAAAACCAAAGTCAAAACCTAAAGAAAATATGTGTTTACTTGGAATTTTCTAAACGAACAGTTTAGAAAAAGACAACTAAAACAAATAAAATTTATTTTATAGCATTAACGTGGGGAAAGCACCACGCCCCTCCATTCAGCGCTCCTCATAGCAGTCGCCAATATCACCAGTTCGCCAAATCTAATTCAATAGTCGCAATGCGTTGATCATGTGCAATTTGAGGTTAACAGCTTTGCGTGGCATTGCTGCGTCTGTAGTTGAAGTTGTTGTTAATTTGTTTGCCTGCCAGCTTGTTTGCTGATTTTTATGCAAACTTTAGCCGATATAGTAAACAAATATAATATCTAACATATGTGAGTAAACACGTGCATATGTGCTACGCTGTTTTGCAAGTACACGTGTACGAGTATGTGTGTATACATAATGGTAGATATACTAATATGTAAATATTAAGCTCAACTTATAGCATGCGAATTGATTGTAATTTAATAAACACTTATTCCTACTTAGTGCGACAAAATGTCGAATTTTTTAAGCTTAGTCTATCTTCTTATATACCAGTTCATATGTATGTACATACATACATACATACATGGTTCACATATATCACGGATTATTTTGCTCACCTTTGTGGAGGTTAGAATTAATATTATCATTCAAGACAAAATTTTACAAGTTTATATACATACATAACTGTTTTCCTAAGGCAATGAGGGCAGATAATAACAAACGTTAATTGATTTTTTATACCGTTATTTAATGTATAGTGACAATTTTTGAATTTTTATAGCGGGAAAGTGACAGCACTGAAACTGTTATGTCGTTTTTTTCTTGTGAAAAAATTTACACTTCAGAGTGGAAAAAAAATCGAAATTATTATTTAAAATCTTATGCCTTCAATCGCTACCTGACAAATATATTTAAATAAGTCGTGTAAAATTTTCAAATTAATCGGTCCAGCCGTGTTGAAGAAATTTTCCTCACCGACTCTGAAAACAGCGTTTCGAGCAAAATGCCTTTAAAGTTTTGGGAGCCTCTTATACTAAAAAAAAAAATTATATTATGCGCTCATATCTCCGAAACTATTTTCAAGTCTGTAACATATGTTTTCTAAAGACCATAAACCTTACTTTGTATATGATTTGCTGAAATTAAAAAAAAATGCCATACAACCAAAAATGGATCACAGGTTAAGAGCCAATAATAGTACAGTTATATAATGATTATACAAAAAAGCCAAAAATCTAATCGTTTTATCAAAATTTCCATCAACAATTGCTGCCAAATTTGATGTCAGTTGCCCCATAAAGCTTTCTTTCGCTCAAATTTTTATATATGTATGTATATGTAACATACGCTGATAAGATTATGACATATAATCAAAAATTTCTACAAATGAGCAAGTATTTGCAATAATACTTGTCAATTAGTTTTATCAATCTTGTCCTCAACAATAATGAATTAGGTGATGATTGAGGTATATAAAGTGTCTAAAGCTTACTTATCTGATCAGCAATAAAACGGATACGACATATGAAAAAACATTAATTTTGGTGGCACCGAAACTATAATACCCTTCACAAGTGCTTTTTCGATAGCGTGAAAAGATATTTGTCCTGATTTTGATCGGTCAATTTGTATGGCAGCTATATGCTATAGTGTTTCTTTGAAAAAAAGCTATGCCAAATGGCACGAGATGATGTATTGTCGAATAAAAATGTTCTCCATACAAGGAATTGATTTTGATCGGCCAGCTTGAATGGCAGCTATATGCTATAATGGTCCGATCCAATGTCTTCCGAGATTATAGCATTGTGTTGAGTAATAATCCACGCCAAATTTCTTGTTGATTGATTTTGCTTGATCAGCTTGTATGGCAGCTATTATAGTAGTCTGATAATGGACATGAGCCAAATTTCAGACCGATATCGCAAAAACTGAGAGATCAGTACAAAATACATTATAGTTTAAGAAACTCAAATATGGTAAGGCATATAAAATTATAATAATATATATTATTATTAAAAACAAGAAAAAACTTTAACTTAGGTTGCACCGAAGCTATAATACCCATCACCAATAAAAAATACAAAATTCCACACAAGCACCTTATTCTGATCGTTGAGTTTGCATGGCAGCTATATGCCCTAGTGGAGAGAAAATGACGCGTGCAAAATTTCAGATCGATATCATAAAAACTGAGGGACTAGTTCCCGTATATACAGGCGGATATGTATAAATCGACTCAGCTCGTCATCCCTTTGCAGGGTACAATTATAGGAACATTTTGCTTAACCTCACCAATCAGCATACTTGTCATTAATTTGGCTTAAACCCTTCAAAATTCGCGCGTCTCAAATCGTAACGGACAGAGTAGGACTCTTAGGTATGCGCGAAGCTTAAAATAGTTTTATATTAGCATTTAGTGACACGTTTTTCTATACGCTTTCATATTCGCTTTTTACAGCATATACAGGTGTTCTTCCATAATTATTTTTGTTGATTTAGTGAATTGATTAAGAAAAGTGTTCAAAACGACAAAGAGTGTTGTCAAAAGAATATTTATTATTCACACGGTATTCTTAATATGTATTGTTTCTTCGTTAACCAACTGTATACTACACTACCACATGTGCAGAGGTGAAATCAGTGTGTGTGTGAAGGTGTGAGGCGTAGGTCTCGCCAATCTTTTTATACTGGCTTATAATTGATTACACGTGACAAAAAATTAATGCAAATTCTTCTCTCTCTCTCTTTCTTTTTATTTAAGGCTATTTAAGGCAGGGATTGATGAGATAAAAATTGGCAAAATTTGTTCAAAGCGTATTTAAAATTAGGTTTAAAACACGTGCTATGCGTCAATGTATATTCGTGTCTACAACAAATATGGCTTATAATATATTTACTTAAGGTGTTATAACCACTTGGAATTCAGAAAACATGCGTTTTTTTGTGAATTCTTTGTTTTTGAAGAGGAATTTTATTTTATAAATAAATAAATATAATTTACATTTACAAAATTAAATGTACTTTTTTGTCCGATATTAAGGTGACTCGTTTTGACAAATTTTGCATACTCTTGATCACGTAGCCTTTAGATCGGTCCCGGCCGTTTCGGAGAAAAACTCGTTTAATTCGCTCATATCTCCGAATCTATTTGCCGGTTCAAATTTAAATTTACATAGAATATTTTCAAATATATGTACATTGGATATATGTAGGAATATGCAAAAAGGTTACATTTCTTTCGAATTCTCAAGTTAAGATAACCCTTTAATACTACACGGATAAGAAAAACCAGTCCAACTGATGTCATTTTTAATGATTTCGAAAACACTAACCACCACCAACTAATTTTTTTATTGTAAGCATTAATAAGTTTGGTTCGAATATACATATATGTATATAAATGGTCAGTCTGTATATGTTCGTCCGTCTGTCTGTCCGTATAGGTACGCGCGCACTAGTCCCTTAATTTTTGAGATATCGATCTGAAATTTTGTACACGTATTTTACTCCTCATGAAGCTGCTCATTTGTCGAAACCGCCCATATCGGACCATTATACCATATAGCTGTCATACAAACTGAACGAGCCAAACCAAGTCCTTGTATGAAAAACGTTGTTGTTTAACAAGATATCTTCAAGAAATTTAGCATAGATTATTGCCTAAGATAAAATTACAATCTCCCAAGAAACTGTTGGGATCGGTCTACTATAGCATTAAGCTGCCATACAAACTGATCGATCTAAATAAAGGTTTTGTGTGGAAAACTCTTTTATCAGTGAAGTTAATTATAGATTCGATGAAATTGAAGTTAACGTTTTTTCTTGCTTTTCCATTATTTATTATTTCATTTTATTTTTTATCATCTTCTTGTATTTTACTTCATTGCATGTTTTTAAATGTGTTATATTATAATTAATTTGGTTCTATTTATTTTCTTTTCTTTTATTTATTTTTATTTTACCTTATTTATTTTGATGTTATGACTTATACCGATTTATTTATTTTCGTCAACTCTCTTTCCTCTATTCAAATATTTAGTATATTCTTTTTATTTTACTTTTTGCCCAATTAAATGTATTTCTATGGTTTCGAACATAATTTGTTTGTTTTCGTTGCTCTTTCTTGTCCATATACACATGTACATACATACGAGTATGTATATTCTAGTGTGTGGGTATCGATATTATTACCATTGTTATTATTATTATTTTTTTTGTTTTGCACATTTTGAGGCCACAATCGCATAAGCGAGCCAAGTTCTGGTTCACAGTGTCAACGTCTTGTTCCCAGGTTAGTATATGCAATTATTTCTTTATATGCCTATTTTAATATTGTTGTAGAATTACAAATTTCTATAAAAATTATTTAACTAACCAATAGTTAGTACCGTTACTATTAGAAGCAGGCGCTCGACGCTTTCAAAAACTTTGGATGAATTTAAAGCTCAAAATTTTACAAATTTCACTGCTAGATTATCTGCTAGCCAGCCGTCTGCTTTCACCCACACATCCAAGCAAATATTTGGGGGCATAATCTTTGATCGTTATTGACGGTCATCTTCTACGCTTGGCTACACCGCACGTTGGAGGAGCAGACGGGTGTGCCAATACGGCGCTTGATTTCAGTTACCAACTGACCGACTGCGAAGCCTTACTTGTCTTGCACTTGATTATTATTTTTGTTGCCTCTTTACGGTCATTAGCGCCACGTTGGGCACAGCATTCACAAGTGCAGCTAAGCAAATACTTAGATATAGATATATGTATTTACGAGTATGTATGCACAACTGTAAACATTGCACAAGAATAGGGCGCAAAAAAAAAGAAAACCAAACGAGAAATGTAAACAAATTTGTAAATAACAGAAACAAAACGTTGTATGTACATAAGTGAATGTATTATATACACTAGTTATCATATCAATACCTTAGTACTGGCAACTAGCTTGGTCAATAAATGTAATCTACTACGAACCTAGACCGCCATACCAACCGCGAATGCCTTTACGAATATACTCCCAGCGACAATTACAAATCATAAATGTCTTATAGCTTTAACACAATACGGGCGACGACGAATATCATGGTGGGCGAAATTCGCCGCCGTCGCGTATTGTCACCGACGGCGTCGCCGAGTACGACGAATATTCGTCGTCGCCCGTATTGTGTTTAAGCTATTACTCGTTCGTTACTCGTGTTCAGCGAATTTGATGCTAGGCGCTTTGCTGATGTCATTGTATCGAATGTTGGTATGACAACCCTTTGTTAATTTGTTCAGCCATTGAATTGTCAAATCGGTCAGATTGTGTAAATCACTCTTGGTGAGTTAGATGTTGAGTGGCTTACACGAGAACCGTTATTTTTACTGGTTGTTTAATTTATTGTTTTATGTCATTAATGTCGGTATTTACCAAGCATAAAAAGATACGGAATCACATTATAGCAGCTGTTCATGCAGACTGGCAGCACAAAAAGAACTGCCCAAATTATAAAATTTGCTCACCTAAATAATTTTTTTTAACACATTTGGTCTCTGCCTTACGCTGTCTAAAAAGAAATGAGGTCCTTTTTTATGAACATCAATCTATTTATCTTCTACAGCTATTTTTTTTTATTCCATAAAAAATAAAATTGTCGATGCCATTTTGACAGTACTTTATCATTTGAGCCATTCACAATAGTAAAATTAATACTAAAACTATAATGAGGTGTCCGCGCGTTGTATCGAGATAAATTCGCAGCGCTCAAAGTTAACGAGTAGAGCAATGACGAGTCAATCGGTCTTTTCGTAACATTTGAAAATACTCGTAAATCAAAATCAAAAAGAAAAGAGCCACCTTTCTCCTATTATCATATTTATTTAAGCATCTGCGTTATTATTTACTTTTTATACCTTGAACACGGTATATTAAGTTTGTCGCAAAAATTGTAACACCCAGAAGGCAATGTCTTCGACCCTAGAGTATATACCTATAGACCTATCCAATTTCGTCTGTATATATGCGAACGAAATAGTTTCTCAGTTTTTGAGACATCGATCGAAAATATTGAATACTTCCTTATCTCATTTGTCGATACCGCGAATATCGGATCACTATAAGATATAGCTGCACAAAAACTTGTTTAATTAACGAGATATATTTACGAAATTTGGCATTATTGTCCAAGGTAAAACTACAACCCATAAATATATTGTTCAGTGTTTTTGGTAAACAAAAAAAAATTTAATATATCATATATATGATAAACAATATTATGATTTCCTCCCACTCAGTCAATAATATATATGGGTACATATATGTATGCATATAACTTTCTATCCAACTAACCAGCTGACAGACAGTTCAACTAAGCCTGTAAACATTTGTATGTGTGTGTCTATTGCATTATTGCTAAGCAAATAATTAGCTTAATTTTTCTATAAACAAAATAAAATAATCTGGCGCATTTTTTCTTGAATTTCCCATTCGTTATTGACACAGCGTGATAACATATTTACGAAACTGCAAATTGTAATAACAATATCAAATCGTAACGCGTCAGATTCAAGCACACGAAACGTTGAAATCTTCGAAAGCTCTAAAAGGCGAAGCGTGTGTATAAATTAAAATTAAAAGATATTGCTTGTTTAAGCAATTTTCACAAGCTGCGATTATGTAAATTTATAAAGTGGATTTTTTATATAGAGATTATAACTGTTTTTAAATATCAGCTGGAGTTTCGAAATTTACTGTAAAACTTTTCTAAATATTGTACATACATGTAATAAGAGTAAACAGGAACGTTTTAGCAACATTTGTTTAACAACAAATAATATATATTATAGTTTTAGACTCTCATTATTTATTATTATTTTATTCACCTTTTTTGACAACAAGTTCTTTGTTTGAATAACGACAGATATTCATGAAATATTACCACTCTGATTTAAAATCTTTAAAAACAAGTCCACTTAGTAACCTAGATATCTAGATGGTACATGGGGCACAAACAGCTTCCCGCTGCTGCTAACGTATGTACATATGTATATAACCAATACAATAAAAATGTGCTAATTGCTTGACAAATCAAATGACAGATCAAGCGCAGGCATACTGTCAATTTTACAACAACCACATATCCCGCTCTTAATAATATTCCTACAAATGTATGTAGAAATCATGTGGCAATCAGAGACACATACTCGTACATAGGTATAAACAGCTAGGAGAAGGAAGTTACTAATAAACGTACAATAATAAGTGACAAATAATGCAAATACTCAGAGAAAAAAACGGTTCTCAACACAAATTGAAATATGCATATGCATATTCAAACTATGTTTATATGTACACATATGTAAATATCTATATGTTTGAATGGAAAATCGTATGGTTATCCACCGCGTATGCGCGACATTTATCACTTGTCAACTAATGAAAATCACGCATACGCCGTGTGCACTATGCAAATATCTACTTACACAAATTGTTAACTGGAAAAACATATTAAACGGCTGGTACAGTGGTGTGCCAAAAAGGCACTTTGTGTATGTTGAAAGTGTAACATATTGTAGTATTTAACTTAAGACGCAAGTTAGTGGAGAAATAATTTGTAATTTTTTTAACCCAACCGGATTGAAAAATAGCTAACAATTTTTAACCCGAAATTTTTGTTTTTAAATTATACCTAACATTTTTTTAAATAAGTTTTTAATCCCAAATACCGGATTGAAGAATAAAAAAAAATTTATTTTCCAACTTTTGTCATCATAAACATTTGACTTTTAATCCCAACATTAGAATTACAAATTGAAAATCTAAAATATGGTATAATCAAAATATTGTAAATTAAAATATTTGCAACCTTGTGTTCAAAACATAATTTTATTGACTTGTTTGTTAATCATTAAGGATATTTAAGTTTTTGAAGGATTCATTTTAAAATGAAACCAACTTCGCAGGGTTGCACTTTTAGTTCTATTAAAATTAATAAGTAAATCAGTAATAATATTTTTCAACAACTTTTCAATAACTTTGCGTAATTAATGAAATATTTAACAATTTTATTATTGTTTTCGATACCAGTCATTTTAAATGAATTTGTAACGAAATCAACAAAAAATATTTCCCTAATACTAGGTCCTGAACAATGTAATCGAACTGAATTCTCAGGTAGATGTAGTGAATAAAAACAACTACCTGATATTTGCTGTTAGAACTTTTTATATTTTTTATTAAAAAAATTGTATTAATTAATGCTTTTATAATAATATTTCATACTAATTTATTTTATTATAATTTTTAATTTTTATATTATAACTTTAAATTCCTCCATATTACTACATCGTTTCCTCTCCACACAAATTGCTCTCCATTGGAATTGCTAAAGCGTATTTAAAGAAAAGTTGAAATCAGAGTCGTCTCAATTGAATAATCAAAATACTTTCTACTGAATTTGAATTTGATTATCTAAATAATCAAGTTTAATTTAAATCAATTTCAGCTCAGTAAAATGGATTGGAAAACTTTATCAAGCAGTGAGAAGAGCCCAAAAATGGAGCGCTGGAAACCAAATCCAATATTGGAACCGGAACCCCCACCGCCTATACCACCACGCACTTTTATGCGTCAATCGAGTTTCACGAAAATTGGAAATATGCTTAATACGGCTATAAATATGAATGGCACTAAAAAAATACAGAGTAAGTTGAAAGACATTATATTCGAATAGAAATTAGCTAACAACACAATTTCCTCAAAATAATTCGAAGTAATTCGAGAGGCCCTAAAATACATAAACAAAAATTAAATTACATGAAACACCCTGTATATATACTAATTTATGTTTAATATGGAGCTATATGCTGTTGAAAATCAATCAAAATATTTTCACTCCAAACAACCATTAATCGTTTTATTGTTATCTAGTGAAAAGACTAATTTATTTGTAAATAAGTCAATTATTGCGCCTAAATTCAATAGTTTCGTTTTATTTGTCGCCACGACTGTTTATATCGATTATTGTCACATTATTGACCAAAACAAACACAGCTGAACAGTGCTGCAACAAAAGTAATATATCTCACCATAGCAATTTGCACAAATTTTGCAACCAGCATATCCTTAAAGTTTGAGCTTAATACATGCACATACTTACAAATTATTACAAAAATTTATATTTATGTATTTGTCAGGATATAATTTGGTTTCAATAGAATAGATGTGGGCATAAGTAAGCGAATTTATAATAATATAGTTCGAAAAGTGAGACTGGCAACTCTGAATTGTTGCCATTCTAAATTCGTAATTTGTTTTAAGCAGTCGCGAAGTTCTTTGCGGTGTTTCTTCACAATTTTTTCGGCGTTTCATTGCCAATTTAAAGCGTTTAAAAGGTGTGCACGTTTAATAAAATGATCATAAGTTAAAAATTATTTAAATTCTGTGATAGTGCGACGAACGTATTGAGTAAGAAGTGTAATGAAAAACTAAGTAGATTTGCAAGTCGCCATGAAGGTACGACAAATGCAACAACAACACAATTGTGATTTAGTGCGAACTTCGTCGGCATTGGCTCACAGCGGCAGCAGCTGCCGTCGCCGCCGCAAATTGCGAAGCAACGAGAATCATTTTGACTAGCAAACGACAGGCAAACTCGTAAACGAACAAAGCACATAAAAATAAATGAATAAAAATTATCGGAAAAGCAATAGAGTATAATGTTGAAAAGATTTGGAAGAAGAGTAACAGAAGACGAAAGAATCAACGCGAAATAAATCAAAATTGGCAGAATTTCAGTTGTGTTGACTTATTCATTCCAAATTTGTCATATGAATGCGAAATGATAACCGCGTGAAGTGAAGCTATTTACACTTGTATTAGAATTATTTAAATATTGTTTAATATACCGATCAATGAAAGTGTAAATTTCCACAAACGCGAATAATTGGCCACAAAGAATGTTCATATTGATGTTATATGTTAACTGAACATCGATTACGCCGATTTGATTAAATACATAACTGGAAATTTAATATTCCTAAGAATTGAACGCGAGCAATTGCAGAAATTGCGATTCCAGGATAGAAGTTATTTAAAAAATACAATAAGTAAAACAAGTCACGCGGTGCGTGTGAACTAGAAAATAGGCACCAAAGATGCATGCGTAATTTTTTTATTGTAAAAGTGTGTAATTTTACAACCGGTATAAATACATTATCCCACGACCGATATTTTCAATAAAAATGTTAAAGGTTATGCTTTGTATTTAATAAATGCAGGTACACAACTTGAAAAAATATGGACTGCTTTCAATAAAAGGTCGTTGAAAAAAAAATACTACAAATCTAAGAAATATGATGTAAAGTGGGTATGTGGGAAATCAAAGAAGTTAACATAATCAACATTGTATATAGGAAAGAACAAAATAAAACGAAAATTGCTCTTTCTACTGTCATTCAGTCAGTGTGTTTGGGAATTTTCGTCCGCTATTGCACGTTTTCGTGAGTATAAAGCAAAGCAGACACCGAATAGTAATATGGCGCGTTACACTTCTTTTCTGCTTTTGCACCTTTTTATGTTTGACGTTTTAATACGTTTTTTTTTTTAGCACCACACCACCGGTCGCTGTAGTTTTCTATAACGCCGCCGCCTGTGGCTGCATGCATTTGTTTTACTTCTCAAACAACAAAACACACAGAAAGTGAACGAACGAGTGTAAAGACAAATTGTGCAAATTCGTTATTCGTCGGCTAATTTTTTTCATTGTTTTCTTTTTTTTTTCTACTATAGTGTGCGAATTGAATATGCGTAAAGAGAATATATGATAGAATACGTGAAAAATCAAGTCAAAGCACTTTTTTTCTTCAAAACCACAAAATAAAAAAAAAATTTATGTATAGGCAAGTAGAAAAAAAAGACATAAGTTAAAAATATAAAGAGAAGACAAAAGTGCTACAATAATAATAAGTGAAATTCTGCAAAGTTATTTTTTCAATATTTTAATTACACATTGTCACCAAATCGTCCTGATATATTCGAGAACTATAACACAACGATAAAATTGTCACCACTGTCGCCATAAGTAGCTGCTGCATCCAGCACATTGCTAAGTTGTCATGGCCGGTAAGTTCCCCCATTAGTATACATACATGTATGTATGTATGGATGCTCATTTTTTTTCGTTATGTACATACATATTTTATATGGTTGATATGAGTTTATTGTGCAAATTTTATTCAATAAGCACTAGCGTAAAGTTAAATAACACTTCTCAAGTTGAATTTTTAACAACTCATTGTCAATTAAAATTACAGGATATTAAGTAACCCTGGAAACACAGCAGATAGCCTTTCAATTATTTTAAATGTTTCTGTCCGGTACCAACGGATTAACAGCTATTTTGGAGCAAATGGTTTAGAAATATATGTGTAATGTATCAGGAAACTACCGAATTACAGTGCAATTTTTAGAAGTAAAAAACATAAAAGACAATAGCAGTTTTTATTTTATTATTATTAGAAACATTGTTTATAAATACGAAACTATTGTTGCTATGCCTGTCAGAAGCCGACACAATAACAAAATGTCTCTAACTTTTTTGTTTTATATCCACTTACATGAGTGATTCCTTGACCTGGAAAGACCGCGTAACACTTATTTTCTCCTATTCGCTCGTTGCGTCCTTTATGGTTGTAAGATCAGAAATTGCCTTTGACGTATTAATGCATTTTCCACTATTGATGTCGACAGATATTTAGTAAATAAAAAGAATATACATTTGTATTTATCTGACTGAACATTTGAAGTATCTTCACTAGTGCGAATAGACATCATTTGATGTGACCATCTATAAAAATGCAGTATAAAATACTTCGATACGCCTATTCATTTGGAACTAATCTCTTCCATCAACAATACTCCCATACCACTTGTTACCCCTTAATATCCATTACTTCCGATATGCATGACCTTGCCCACACATAAAACCCTTTAGATAAAAATAAAAATTTATTTATTATCTTTTGTGAGTACGCCTATTATGAAAACAGGCCACAGCCGAGCAACACTTCTCTAAGAAAAATGTATTGTAGTTTATCACTCTTTGTTTTTCTACCAGCGATATTCTATTTATACAAAAAGTATATGACATCTGAATATTCTGAATGCCCAAATGTTTGTTTTTCTGCTTTCATTCATGACGTAATTATTGCATATTTTCAAATCAATAAGAATTTAAACCACGGTATCGTTTTGCACATTCTTTTTATTTTATTTTTTTTTGCCGGCACACGCTACCAAACACACATGGCTTAGAAGCAGACACATCCATCTACAAGTATTTTTAGTTTGTATGTAAGCACATGCACATGTTTGTTGAATGAGGTCAGGAAGTGTTTAGTTAGTAACAAAAGTAATCTGAGACCAGTAAAAAAACAAATACAAATAAAACCAAATTTATATGCGCTAAACGCATATTTAGGTTCATATGGTCAGGTATTTATATTTGCAAGGATATTTATAAAATATAAACTAAAAAAAAAAGAAAATACTAATTTCTAATACTCTTCACAACTAAAAAAGTTTCCAGTACAAGACCTTGTTTTTGAACGATTGTATGGCAGTTATATGCTATAGTGATTCGATCTGAACAATTTGTTCGGAGATTGTACCGTTGCTTTGGACTATAATCTATGCCAAGTCTCGTGAAGATGTCATGTCAAATAAAAAAATGTCCATGCCAGGACTGGTTTTTGAACGTTCAGTTTGCATGGCACCTATGTCGACCATGCCAAATTTCGTGATCCTTTAGTTCGGGCAACTATATGCTATAGTGGTCCATTATCGGCGGTTCGATAGCGATAACTCAAAAACTGAGAGACTAGTTCGTGTATATACAGACAGACCTTAAGGGATTTAGTTTTTTCTTTACTGGGTTTATAAATAAGTTTACAAGAGTATTAAATAAATAATTTCATAACAATTATAAAAACTACATTTGTATTTGTACATAACTACCACATATTATTATTTCTATGCACTTTAAAAACGACACAATCAAAAATCTTGTTGATGACCGCAAAAGTGGTGAGTGGAATCATCAAGTTCTGTTATTATTTTTATCATTACCTCTGTTGTTTGTATAATTGTGATATTATATATACACTTAAAAATCAATTAAAATCTCAATGTGGATAAGTTAGTTCAAGTAAAAGTGGTTGATGACGCATTTACGGAATGAGGTAGCTATCGATAATGGAATCAATTTGTGTTTAGTAGGTACATACTACATACATACATATGTATGTACACAATCATGTTGCCTTCTATACTGTCATAATGCTTGCAAATATTTATTATAACTTGAACAGGGTCCTTTGTATATAGGTGGACTATTAACTCAATTTTTGAGATATCGATTAGAAAATTTGCACACGTCCTTTCTCCTCAAGAACCTGCTCATTTGTCGGAACCGTCGATATCGACACACTATATAGCATATAGCTGTCATACAAACTGAACGATCAAAATCAAATTATTTTTATTTATGAAGGGTATTAAAGACTACGGTGCAGCCGAAGCTAACGTTTTTTTTTGTGCTGCACAATTTGACTATCTAAATACAAACACAATAATGCGCTAATTCGTAAATTAGCTAGGAAAATCTGTTTACAACAAAATATAATATCATAGATATATTTGTCCCGAAAATTTCCCGAACTATAAATATTATATTTACCAAATAGTTGAATTTTTCATTTTAAATTTAAATTTATTGTATTATATTTTTTTCTATTTAGGTAATGGAGAAGCTTCCTGGTGCTTCTCACAGATAAAAGGCGCCTTAGATGATGACGTCACCGATGCTGATATTATATCCTGTGTGGAATTCAATCATGATGGTGAATTGCTGGCAACAGGTGATAAAGGCGGACGTGTTGTCATCTTTCAGGTATGGCAAACATTTTACAAAATACATACGAACTCATACATATAAGGTTGGAAGGTATCTCCCTTCCGCTTTTTTGCTCTTCTTTCAATGTTTTATAAAAAGTGTTACAGTGATCGGATTTAGTTAAAATATGCGCCGTTTTGTTCGATGATCTGTTTCCATCTAGACGGCAACTTCATAACACCTTCCTCGTAGAAACCCCCCTCCTTATTTGCGAAGAATTCGGACAGCCAATTTTCACAAGCCTCTTTTGAGTTCAACTTCACACCACCAAGGGCATTCGCCATGGACAGGAACAGGTGGTAATCACTTGGCGCTACGTCCGGGCTATATGGTGGATGATTCCCTTCCAATCCCACCAAACACACAGCAAAACCTTCCTGGCCGTCAATCCCGGCTTGGCCACTGTTTGGGACGATTCACCGGCCTTCTACCACGACCGTTTTCGCTTGATATTGTCGTATGTGATCCATTTTTCGTCGCCAGTCACCATCCGCTTCAAGAATGGGACGAGTTCGTTCTGTTTCAGCAGCATATCGCAGGCGTTGATTCGGTCCAGAAGGTTTTTTTGAGTCAAATTATGCGGCACCCAAACATCAAACTTTTTTTTGTATCCAGCCTTCTGCAGATGGTTCAAAATGGTTTGGTGACTAACTCCCATCTCCTGGGCGATGTCACAAGATGCCATATGCCGGTCTAACTCGATGTTTTCCATGATTTGATCGGTATTTGTCCTCACAGGTCTTCCGCCGGCTGGCTTATCCATGGTGTCGTTTTCACCGGCTCTGAATCGTCGAAACCATTCCTCCGCGGTTCGAAGTGATAGAGTACCATCCCCCAAAACACCATTAATCTCACGGAACGTTTCTCTAGCGGATTTGCCTTTAACGAAGGAAAACTTTAAAATAGCGCGAATTTCGGCGTTAGTGAACTCCATGTTTACACGTCTATAACTGTTGAACGCAATATCCAAACTAATCATGCATAGCGTTGTTTTGTAGGTTATGTCAAGACATTTCAAATTATGTATAGTGTTGCCAGATACGAGCTCTGTAGCGCTTATTAGCCGCGAAATTCAAAAGACAAAAAAGCGGAAGGGAGATACCTTCCAACCTTATATATTATATAAATTTTAAATTTTACTATATATTAACTGTATAATTATTTTTACAGCGCGATCCAATGTCGAAAACGGCCATACCACGTCGCGGTGAATATAACGTTTACTCAACCTTTCAATCGCATGAACCCGAGTTCGATTACCTAAAGTCATTGGAGATAGAGGAGAAAATCAATAAGATACGATGGCTGCGAAGAAAGAATCCTGCGCACTTTTTACTATCCACCAACGATAAGACGGTTAAATTGTGGAAGGTCAGTGAACGTGATAAGTCGTTTGAGGGCTATAATACAAAGGAGGAGAGCGGTCTGGCGAAGGATCCGCAAAATATAACTGGCTTAAAAGTTCCTTCAGTTAAGCAAATTCCGCTTATGGTGGAAGCGTCACCACGCCGCAACTACGCCAATGCACACACCTATCACATCAATTCAATTAGCGTTAATTCTGACCAAGAGACTTATCTGTCCGCGGATGATTTACGAATCAATCTGTGGCATCTTGAGGTGACCGATCAAAGTTTCAATATAGTCGATATTAAGCCAGCTAATATGGAAGAGCTAACGGAGGTCATAACCGCTGCCGAATTCCATCCAACCGAGTGCAATGTATTCGTGTACTCGAGCTCGAAGGGCACAATACGTCTATGTGATATGCGTTCGGCTGCGCTGTGCGATCGACATAGCAAACAGTTCGAAGAGCCGGAGAATCCAACGAATCGCAGCTTCTTTAGTGAAATTATAAGCTCGATAAGCGATGTAAAGTTAAGCAATTCGGGTCGTTATATGATCTCTAGGGACTATTTAAGTATTAAAGTGTGGGATTTGCACATGGAAACGAAACCAATTGAAACTTATCCGGTTAGTTTTTATATAATTTTTTGCTCCAATATGTGAATGCATTTAAATTATTAAATAAATTTTAATTTTTTTTTTACAACAGGTTCACGAATACTTACGCATTAAACTCTGTTCACTGTATGAGAACGACTGTATTTTCGACAAATTCGAATGTTGTTGGAATGGCAAAGACACTTCCATAATGACGGGCAGCTATAACAATTTCTTCAGAGTGTTTGATCGCAATTCGAAAAAGGATGTCACATTGGAGGCGTCACGCGACATTATCAAACCAAAAACGGTGCTTAAACCGCGTAAAGTTTGCACCGGTGGCAAGCGAAAAAAAGACGAGATTAGTGTCGATTGTCTCGACTTCAATAAGAAGATACTGCACACCGCTTGGCATCCGCAAGAGAATATAATTGCTGTGGCGGCCACAAATAATCTGTTTATATTTCAGGATAAGTTTTAGCTAAAACTCTCTCATCTACTTCAGTTCTACTTCATCACCACCACCATTATGGCGTCGTTAAGAATAATTATTATGCTTAATTCTAAATTTTATACTTATCGCTGCTGCAAATGCTATCACTCACTACTACTACTACATGCTATCAATACGGTGTAATCAGAGCAACAAACAAACAAAAATAAAACAAATAATACGATTAAGTTTTGATCGTAATATTAAACGAAATACGAGTACGGACAGGGAGACAAGACGAAAGCGTAGGCGTAGGCGATGTCACAACTCATAGCATCATACATACATATATATACACATATAGTTAGATATAACTTACTATTAGCGCTAATAATTAACGAAACAAAATCTCGATTGGCAATTGATTATATATGATACAGCAAAATAACACGGTATGTGTGCGGTCGGTGTGTGTGTGTAAGCCTCAGCCGAAACAAACGTAAAATTTAAAATTTTGTACTCAAACGTGGCTTACACACGCGCGACATGCTTGCAACGATCATAGCATAAGCAAAGTGATGAAAAAAGTGTGTGAAAAGTAGAGTGAAGGCGCGGGGAGGGAAAAATGCGGCTGGCTGCGCCAGTAAAACCAAACAATATAAATCGTCTACTATTGCGCACAAAGAAAAAAGAAAAAAATAAACGCCTTAAACTAAAACTTTGTACAGTACTCTGATTACAATTCTGTTAAATTCCCTAAAACAATGTTGCCTCGGCTATAGACTTTCAGCTACTTTTAGAAGAGAGCGTGTTTTTTTATACAATATTTATGCGAAATCAGTAAGAATAACAACTATTTATGCAGTAATATGTTTGCTTAATTTGTAATAAATACGGAAATTGTTAATAATAACTCTATTTTTATTTCTTTTCGTTGATACGAACATATGAATTAAGTTGGAAATTCACATTAAAAAGTAGAAAGAAAAAAATATAAAAATATCATAATTGTAGTTTCATCTTAGAAAACTATAATTTTTAAGTGTAAAAGTGAGGGATTCCACAGCTAATAACGGCATATTAAACATTATTACAACTTTACATTGCTTCGAAGAGCAAAAACTAAAATAACATATTTTAGAAATAACAAAAAAGACAAAAATTGCTATAAATATTGAATGCATTATTTATGAGAGCATATGCAGTGATTTCCAAGCTAAAATACAAAGCTGAGGTTTTTCTTGAAGGACCTACAGTTGCGTGTACAGCGAAAATCTTGTGCTATTTTTAATATTTTTCTTTAAAGTAAGTGCGCTCTACTTTTCATTGAACTTCGAAAAAATAAAAAAAATGTAGGGCCCAATATTTTCAGCGTATATTTACGCATATAAAAATTGGCTGGTAGTACGACCCATATTGCTGGTGTAAAGTTAGACTTTGACTGGTTATAAATTTACGTGTGTAACGTCATTTTCGATTTTTGTGCTATCAGTTAACGGAAGCTATGAAACTCAACGAGCAATCTTGTTTGTTGTACGTGTAAAACAGATGATGTTATTTAAATAAAGTAGTAGTAATAATGACAGGCGTACGTATGTTATAAAGCATTAACAAGCCGGGTTAAAGCATTTGGCTAAAAATTCAGTCTTCATTCATTTTCGTACTTATTACAAATAAATACTTTTACGCCAATGCAAAATGTGTGAAATTTGGTCTGATAATTTCTAAAACTGGCCAGAACTTCTATGGATTTCATATTCTTCGCCACAGCGCAATGCAGAAATTCTATATTTTTTTTACAGTAAATGTATTTGTGTGCATATAATAGCGGTTAAGACGTTTGTAATACATATATGTGCTCTTATTATTTTGCTGTGTAAAAGTATGTGTTGTTACGCCTAATTTATACTTTTGAGTTATTCTGCTGCCAGTTTGTATTTCTGTAAACATTTTCATTCCACGAAAATCTGCCAAAGCAATGCAAAAAGAAAGAATGGAATATAGTGAAATATTCTTCTTTAAAATACAATAATATGGTATTGTTTACAATATTTTATTTTATATTGCCACAGCAGAGAAGAGGAAATATAAATAAACAAATAATTGGTGTCACTAATTTTTTATTTTTATTTTTGTGTTGAATACCGGACGCTGAGCAGTGAGCACAGTGCTGGAACTAAAACAAAAATGATTATAACGACGCGCTTGAGTAGTCAGAACTAAATTTGAAGAAACAAAACAATTAGTTCAACATTTAAAAGCCTACGTGAAAGAAATGAAAAAACATATATGCATTATTTCATTAAATTCAAATTTTACTCAGACTTATTTTCAACGTTCTTGCGTATTAACGCAATTAATTAAGACAAAAACGTTTATAAATATTAAATAATGATCATTATGTCTATGCGCTTAAGTAATCAAATACTTATTAAAAAACAAAAAAAACTAAATTTAAAAGAAACGAAAGCAAGCAAATAAAAATTAATTAAAAATGAACAAAAACCATTTTTTGATTCAAATAAAACTAAATTTAATACAAAAATAAATGCAAAAACAAGTTGCAATAGTCACAATAAGCTAAATAATTATTGATAACTTGTGAAAAAAATGCTAGAAATAAACGAAATGACATTATATGTCATTATTAGTAGCGTAAGTCGTATGAAAGTGAATATTTGTGGTTAACATTATATTTGAAACATTTAAGTTGAATATTTGTTTGTAATATTAAATGAAATACTTTATTAGGTATATACATACATATATATGTACATGCATATTTAAATAATATAAGCTAATCGGTAAGCTGTGTAAATGGGAAAAAATTTTAATTACGGTTAAATTAACTGTTTGGATTTGTTTTCCCCAACAACAAACTAATAACAAAGGATGCAAATCACATAGTATGGAAACGCATAAAATACTATACTATATTTATGGAGTTTTGATAGTTGTTGTGTGCTTCATGTGGAATTACAAATAATCGTTAACTAAGTTCTGGTAACATGTATTTTTTTCCGATCCAAACAGGATTAGATACTCGCAACAAAGCCCTTCTCCGGATAAAATCCAGGTCAATTTCGAAACGTAGAACTGGCTGTTGTAGTAATCAAAATGGCTGTTTGTTGTTGTTGTAGCGGTAGAAAAAATGTTTGAAGTAATTATGAAGAATGGTGCCGAGTTGAGGGTCCTTGGCCGGATAAAAATCCGATTCCGTTCCGGTTTTTTAGAACCGACGGTCGTTGGAACGGCATTTATATGCAGTCAAAGACTTAATCTAGCATTAAGCTATCTGGCAATCAATATTATACTACTTAAGCACCACAACAGCAACATAAATTATATAGTATTTTCTGTACATGAATTACATTTTAAGAGGTTTTCAGATTTTGTAAGGAGCAGAGGTTTCTGTTCTAAAGTGAACCAACAACACTTATAAATGATTGCGCATCTTTATGTATTGACCGAAAGCTAAACATGCTGGATTAATATTTTCGAAAAATATATACTTCAATTACATATAAATATCTGTTAGTTGATTGCAATGTGTTTGATTCACACTTTTTCACTTTGTGCCGAAAAAAAATAAGCCACAGAATGGAAATAGCAAAAATTGTAAGATGGCGATATGTGACGTTTATAAAAATATATGTTTTTTTTATCAACATTTGTTAAGTTATTGAAGATAATTTGTCTCATTGATGATAAGTTCTAAATCAGATTTTTGAGAATTCAAAATGTTTTTTGCAACTGGCATTTAAAATCGTACCACTTTACAAAAGCATAGTGAGCGTTTTTTTTTTTGTTTGTAAACAAGCTATTTATAAAATTTATTTTTTCAACTCTTTATGCTTTGAATATTCAGTATATCAGCAGCAGGAATGCTAATTATGCATGTACATCAATAAACCGTATATACCAGATATTTAGCTATAGTATGTATGTATGTATATATATTATTCTAAATATTAAATTGTCAAGTTATATACATACACAAGTAAGTATATATGTATACATTATTGTATGTATATACGAAACAAAGCAAATATATGGTATAATTAGAAACATATATTCATTATATTATATATAATTTACTGAAAAATGCAGTGCTTCTCAATTTATAAGGTATGTGTATGTGTGTATGTAAGTAAACCGTTAACGAATGAATGCAGTTCAGTTATCAATTTATAAAAAATATAAAAACATTAACAACAAAAACTATAATAGAATAATTAATTGACAACTATTGCATCTGCACACAACCACAAGCATAATAAATACAATTAAACAAGACTTCTTAGATAAGTCGTACGGCCATGAACAAGAAACATTGAAAATATTTTTGCAGCACCAAAACATTTAAACGCGCTAAAAACGGAGCCAGCATTATTAACAATTAAGTATTTAGAAAACAAGAAATAAAAAAAAAAACAGAATTGCAAACAAAATTTATATTATAATTCATAAAATGTTATGATGCTGAAAATCACAATAAAGTGCGAATGTTATTAACATTAATATTTTTGTCATTTTAAATTCGAAAATGGAGACTTTCAGATAAGACAGTTATCCCTGAATTGAATTATATCTTGAGTTGTAGAGAAAATAAAAATGTAACTTCGTTAAGCAAAGTCACGTTATCAAATTAAATGGCAAGGTGAACGAACTGATTGAGTGTTCTGATAAATTCAATTTCAAAATATTCATTGGGAGTTTTAACTAGAACAACAGACTGGGATACAGATGTCTACACATAATAATTCACACAAAGTCCAGAAAAATTAATCTATTTATATTATGAAGAATTATTAAACCTTAAATTTAAACTGAATAAAACAAGAAAAAACGAAGCCCACATTAAATTTGAATTTTTAGAGTGAAATTATCATATTAGTGTACCTACATATATTCTGTATATTGCAAATTGACTCCTAACCAATTCCACAATATCGAAAGTGTGTTCACTTGACCATAGTCGCTATTCACGTTTTCATTCAATATTTTTATTAATCACCTGCAACACTCACTCACTTTTATATTCTTTTACAATTTGCACTTATTTTGATACACTTGTTTTATAATGAAACAAACGCAATATGCTTTTGAGAGTGCATTTTGAAAAAATATCAACTAATACATAGTGACTCGCACTGTTACTACTCGTTACTATTTAGTTTGCTTTCTCGGGATAACTTTTCTGAACGACAATTTTTTCATTTATGGACAATTTCTATTAAACTGCTAACCGCGTTAAATATTGTATTTTATCTTACTATTACCAAAAAAATATTTATGTTTAGAAATGTAAGAAAAATAGTTAAACTTCATTTTATTTTAAATTAACTCCTATTGATTATTATATTTTTCTCCAAAAATAAATAATGTATATACTTCATGTGTTATAAGTTGGTTCCTAACTACCTTTTGTGACGCCTAAATATAATATTGAAACTAATTAATTTGAAACAAAGAGATCAACGTTGAAACAATTGTAATAATGAATATACGTATATATAATATATGTGCAACCCTGTATCTGTAACCAATATGCTTTTCGTGAGTTTCCGCTATTATCAACGAGTTAATCCGGCAATTTAAAAGTGGTAGTTAAGAACATCGTGAAATTTTGTCTTGTATCGGTGTTAAATTGTAAGGAAAAAAATATTTGCTAGTTTAATTTAATGCTCCAAATATCGTATTTGCAATAAATGGTATTAATATAATTAATTAAGTGTTCAATTTGTGTGTAAATGCAAATTAAGTATGAAGTGGTTATTGGGCGAGTAAAAAACGAAATGGTTGATGCTAAAATTTCCAATCGCGGCAGCTGAAAGCAGTTGAAACTAACTAGAAACAGATTTGATAGCGTTCAAAAAAATTATAAATTAATAAATATTGTAAGTTTTCTCACTTGGATCGCGCCCTATAATATTGTATTTTCATTACATTCCGCTATTGCAAACAAGTTAAAATACGCCGAAGCAGTAAAAAAGATGGCTTGATTTTCAAGGAATAAAATAACTATTAAATTTGTAGCAATGAAGTTATGTTGAATGAATTTATCGCATAAAATAATACCGTATAATAATATATTATAGTGATATTATGAAAATGAAAGGTTTAATAAATTATTGAGTAATGAGCATAAATGTGAAATGTGCAAATTCCTAAATCAGCGAGAATTGCGAATGCAGTCATTTGAGCTTTTACATACCTTCTGTGTAATATATTTTCCGGTAAGTCACTTCTATTTTCAACAGTGTATTTTTCATAAATTAAACAATTACCGTTATTTATTGTCAAAACTAAAAAATGTATCTTTCTATATATGTATATAGTTATCAACAGTTCATTTATTTACATCGAAATGCGCTAAACTACAATACATTGTGACTTTTACAATAAGACCCTGCGAAATTGTTCAAGTATTTATACAAAGTTAATGTGACTATCGGATTGGTATGTAAGCATAAACATACATACATATGTACATAGAAATATGCTTTTATAATCACGCAAATGTGTACATATACATATGTATGTCGCTATCTATATTTATGCATAATGAATGAAATTATGAAATACATTGAATAATTGAAATCAGTCAGTTATTTAGTGTGAAAAGGCATTTAATTTACTCGTTTAAAATTTGCACTTTTCGGAGTTTCTCACAAGAAGCGCAGGAGCATATATGTGCTTCTCTTCTACTGATCACGTATTAATTTTATGCAAATTTTTAAACACAATAATATCAGTCCCAAATGAGCGGGCAGCATAACGGCATTTTGAAGTGCCCCATTTCGTAAATTCGTAAAACTGTCAACAATATGAATTTTCCAACCCATGTTGGCATGTGTGAAACTATTATAGTACACAGTATCGGGCCATGTAATATTCGGCGTGATTTCCAAAATTGCGGGATCTTCATTAGGGCAAATACTTATGAGTGAACGATTGAATTTCTTGAAACTAGGAAAATTATCATCCAAACGACGATCATAGCTGAGCGGATATTTGGAGAGACATAATGGACCGGCTGCAGTTGGTTTGGGGCGACCGCGTCGTGTGAATTCCACGCCGGCAAGTACACGGATTTCACTTTGTTTTGCGTCGCTAAGGCGATCGAAGCCGCCATGAGGTTCATCAGTTATAACCATTGGATGATAATGTTCTGGCGAATGTGGATTATTGCCACCACGTACCTGTTGAAAATGAGAATTATTATATACATATGTACCACACAAATATATTCTTCACTTTATAATAAATTATTTTAAAAGTGAATATACCTTAAAAGCGTATGTAAGACCACGCTTCAAATACATCTCAGGCGTCATATATCCGTTAATGTACCAAGCAAGGCCACTAGACACATGTCCAGTAATACCTTGGTAGCCACGCAGACCTCCCGACGGTCCGAGATATGCATTAAAAGTACGCAAAGTGCTGAAAGCATACAAAGCAAATATCAACATATGTTTTTGTGACGCTAGATATTCTACACGGTTACAATGTCGTACTCACGGATCATGTAAGCGCACACGATCCCATATTTGGATTGGTGCCTCGGGTGCCTTTGTAAAGCTAAAGCAATCATTTATCGGCTCTGTTGTATTGAAATCGATGAGTATATCACTTTTTGGATATACAAAATGAAATGCCGGCTCTGAATTAGAATCCAATTCTCCTAAGGCCCACACCACATAATTACTTTTGTCTAGACGTATTTCTTTATCACCCGAATCCGCTAATAATAAATTGTTTGTTAAAAATCTTGTAATTCTAGACAAAAAATATAATAATTCAAATTACTCACATGAGATCAGAGTCCGCCGAAAAGTAATTGTATTTATACCGTCCTTACGGCTATAAGTATTGAGCTGAAAACTGTCCAAACCACCGACTACATCATCACGACAAACACCCTTATTTTGTCCCAACACTTGAACGCACTAAAATATCAAATTATTGAATACAATTTTGTTTGTTACTACATTACTAAATTACCGGCGCCAAAGAAGTAATATTGTAGTCCACTGAGTAGCCGCGTATATCATCGATATATGCTACAACCACATCGGCGCCAATCATTTGACTTGATGTCTCTGAACCGGATATACCAAAGGACATGTAATCATTCTTTTCCACCTGACCGGATAGCTGTAATGTTATTTGTGGGCCAAATACCTCCCAAGAGACCTGCAAATTCTTATGCAATTGCCGACAATTTGGCAGCGAAAATTCATAGGGCGTTATCTTCACTAACGATGGCGGTACATTCAGATTGTCGGCTATTAAAATATGTCCAAAATTCTCATTATCAGCTAAGTCGTATATGCTAATCCAATCGATGTCAAAAATCGTCTTATCACCGGGTAACTCTAATGTAATAGTCTCTTTCTCATATTTCCGTATCGGATCCAAGCTGCATAATATATGTACAATATATAAAAGTTTCATGAGCATTTCATCTATTATGTATTGCACATTTTACCACAAACACTTACTATCCCATTTCGTCGGGTATCTTGCTGCCGCGACTAGACGGTTGTGCACCCACGCCGGTCCAAAAGAATGTACGCTTACCCAGTCCATCGTAGGTGAAATCTTTAATGCGTATCGTCTTCGAGTCGAGCATCTCGAGAGCGCTGCTGCTGACATTGTGACTGCGGCGAGAGAAAGTGCCGCCGGCTTGTGCACGTGGCGGTTCGAATTCTTCCGGTATATAAACATCTCCGAAATTGTTCTGATTGTTCAGATCGTACACGGCTAACCATTTGATTTCAGTTATTTTCTTTCGATCGGGCAGTGATAGCGTGAAATCTTTGTTATGATAACGATCTAGTATGTTAGTTCTACAAATAATTAATAAGAAATTAATTAAATTGAAACACTGTTTATGCTTGTTGATTAAAATCATACATACTTGCCATATTCATCTGGCACAATGAAACCCTGTGGACCGGGACGATTGGAAGCGCCTGCCCAAAAGAATGTATCCGCGCCATTGCCGTCGTAATTGAAACCGATTATGAGAAAAGTGTACTCATTAACGGCATACACATCACCTGATACCTAAAAATGTTAATGTGAATAATTTTCATGAAATTTAACTATACATTTAGGGGAAGCGTTTTTATTTCCATTTTACTCACCTGGTGATGATATGAATTAATTTTCCCCAAATATTTCCCACGGTATGGACCATCCTCTTCATCTTCAATGGCCACTGAAAATTTAATAATTTGTACAAATAATATACACATCTTTCTAATACTTATGTATTTTTATGTATTAAAAAAAATAGTTCTATTTCCAATATCATCCAAAATGTAGGCAACTTTTTGTAAGTATTCAAAATAATACTAAAACCATCGCTCTGGATATCATTCGTTAAAATCGGCCGCCAAACTTCTTCTCATTCAAAATGTTAATTAAAGACTAAGAACCTACAGCTGGGGTCACCATTTTGAGTGTAGTTTTTCGGTATCAAAATGTATTTGTTTTTGTTTCGGAAATTGTCTGCCGTTCAAGATTATTAAGTACGAATAGTAAAAAATAGCAGCGAAATAAATAGTTTAGAAATCGTGGTTTGTTTACCAAGTGATCGAAAGCCTAAAAAAACGATTTTTGACAATAAAAAAAAACTGTCTTAATTATTTTAAAATGATAAGAACATATTTATGCATATTTTAAGAATACACAGTAAACTTTTTGAAGAAAAAATTAAATATTTTTAGAGTTACACGCGATGTTGTTTTGGTTGTAACGATTATCCAGACCCTGCTTGCGGCAGAATAATAAGTTATTTGTCATCGAATTCACTTAACGGTAGGCCCAGGAAACGAGCTGTTTCAACGGGTACGGACCATAGGAAGAGTGGGGTTAAGTGAGTTGGTTTCATTGAACATGCAAAGAGGTGATTCCCACGACAGCCAGTTTTACGATACCGGAATTGATGCAGACTTTATCCGGCCAAGGGCTGTTATTTCGAGAACCTAACCCTGTTTGGCTCGGTAAGTAATAATAATAATTTACAGGCGATCTTCGGAGACGCTTAAAACCTTAAAAATAATTCCATACTAGATGATATTGTCCGTGCTTAAAGATAAACTGATGGAGCTGATTGAACTAAGCGGCTACACAATGGAAGGCTGTCACTAAAAAACTAGTTAAGATATCGATTTAAAATTTTATCTTGTTATTTCTAAAAGTATAACTTATTGAAATATGTAAAATTAAAATAAAATTGTTTGTAAACAAATTTCACACTAAGTGTGTGCCTTAATTGTTATTTTACTGGATTGGATGCCTAATTGAACTGCCACGTCTCCATTTTCATCATATATTTCTTTAGAAGCCAAGACATCTCTTCAATATTGCTGAATTACATGCTTGGGGAACCATTTATGATAGAATCACTATTGGATAACTGAGTCATAACTTTGTCTGCTCTAGAAAAAACAGCATTTTTATGCTTTCATACCTTAATTGAAGTAAATGGTTATTAGCCACTAGCACTCGCAGCAAGAGAGAAATAAGGATCCAAATAAATGATTATTTACTTAGCACGATAATTCTATGACAGGCTTAGTTAAGGAATACAATTACGAAACCCATAATTTAGTCATAAAATACCATAATTGTGTCATGGTTGCAAATTATTTGATTACAAATTTTTGCATTAATTTTTAAAGTTTAATATTTTATTCCAAAACCATAATTAACAAGAATATAAAAATTGCTGAAATATAAATAATTTGCATGTATAAATTTGCCGACCACTACTCTAGAGTATTGAACCTAATGGCTCTGTGCGAGCTCTAGCTCAAACTGGTAGAACACGAAGTAAGCGCGAGAAAATATAAATTCACAAACATTTTTTTTTTAAATTTATTAATTATATACTTGACCTTAATTTTCTTTTTCAATCCGCTATTTCGAATCAATTTTTTTTTTCAATTCAGTATTTGTAATTAAAAGTTTGAAAAATACTTTTAATTAAGGTTTTACAATATCAAAATAATTTAATATTATATTAAATTATACATTTTTTTTATTGATAACTAGCAACCGTGTTTGAGGTTTGAAAATCATTACAATATGTGCGAAAATATTGATTTAATTAAAATATTTACACCTATTTCGAAGTAAAATCATATGCTCGTTGATTTAAGTCACATAGTTTTAACACAGACTGTATGAAAGTGAAAAAACAAGCAAGTTGAGCGGCCTTTGTTAGAACACCACACAAATACACAAAATATACCATTCTTTAGCATGACTCATAGCTGTTTTATTTTTATTATTTTTTTTTTTTTGAAAAAATACACAAAACATACATAACATTCGCTGTATATGGCATGCTTTGGTCTCATTTAAATATTGGAGAAATGCTCATACGAAATTACACACACCACCGGCTCTCAAGTAATGCTTTTGAAATGAAAAGAGTTAAGACACAAACTTACAAAGTGCTCACGGAAATACATACCACGATTAAAGCGTAAGAAATGCTTTGCATTTATTTACTTCTAGCTTTTGATGTATGTATAATTTTATATGTATTTACATGCAGAAAAATATGCTGTGTGTGTTTGTATGTATTTTTCCCTTTGTTCTAAAATACGAATTACTTAATATAATATAAATATTATATAACGCCACTTATTTACATTACTTTTCAATGCAGTTTGCAAGTAAACAACTTAAACAGTTTTGTTTTTCTTTACATTGTTCACATATCTACCTACCACATGTATGTACATACTTCTTCTATCGAACAACTTATTCGTTCCACGCCACCAGTTCCACAGGTTTTGCTTTGAAAGTGAGTTGGAATTTCGCTATTGTTACAGTTACCACACTTTCTTAGCAGCTTAGACACTAACTCTAGCGAAAATTAAATAAACACTGGCAAATAAAAAATAAAGGCCAAGAATCATGCACATGCAGACACGCACCCACACACTTACACATCTCTGCTGATTTATTTTAATCCACTTTTTATAGTATGTTTTGCTATTTTTTGCTACTTTTTATTACTTTTGTTTTTGTATACTTACGATTGCAGTGCAGTAAACACGCTGCCAGCAGTAGGATTGTCAGCCCAATTTTCTCATTTAATTGCAAATTTCCGCGACAATTTTTCGCTTTGTCACTGCAATTTTTATGACTGCGTGGCCGCACAGCCTTGCAGTCGTCACAATTTCCGCTTTTGCGCGCTGCCAACGAACACATATCACCGTCGTAGCAAACCGCTTAATGATTTTCGTTTAAATATGTATATATATATATATTTTTTTTTTTAACAATTGCGTTTTACTCGCAAAAAAAATAATAAAGGAAAATTAAATTAATTGAATTTTTTAACCACACATACTTTGAAGCTATGATTCACTTTCACATAAATACGCATATGCATGTATGTATGAACTGCATGAGCGATTAACGAAGCAAACGCAAAGCAATAAAACGTACGCTATGGTCGACGCCAACACCAACACTCAAACATTGCCGCTGTACACACGAACGCCTAGCCGCTCAACAGCGCCCAAAACCAATATAATGTAGCAATGTCAGCGACGCATGCGCACTGCTTGACACCATACATACGTATGCGTATATATGTATATGTACGCAGTGTTTAGTAAAAAAAAAATGCTTTTGTATGTAGATTTCACCACTGTTTTCCGTATCAGCGACAATGTTTTTGACTCACAACCTCGTCAATGTTTCCGCAACGACTGATTGTCCAATATTTGGGCTTTTTCACTTCAACCAGTTGAGTGCAAGAAGTCGCTGAGCGTAGGTTTGGTGAGAGCTTTCATAATAAAATACGTTTAAGAAAAACGCTACAGTCTACTCAACAAATCCATAAATGCGCGCGTTCGATAAGTAAGCGGCGTGCTCAATTAAAAGTAAAAGGATGTTAAGCTCACGGTTTCGAATAAGTATTATTATTTTTTTTATACCGTGAACAGGGTATATTAAGTTTGTCACGATGTTTGTAACAAGTCCATCAGTTTTTGAGTTATAGATCTGAAATTTTGCACACGTTCTTCTCGTCTTCAAGAAGCTGCTCATTTAACGTAACCACCGTTAACGGATAACTTTAACATATAGCTGTCATACAAATTGATCAATTAAAATCAAGTTCCTGTAAGAAATGTTTTAATATTTGTGAGGGGTATTATAGGTTTGGTGCAACTAAAGTTAACGTTTTGTCTATATAAATAACATAAAAATTGAATTTTAATTAAAGCTCCGCGCAGCACACAAAATTAGCATTTAAAATCACATAAATCTTATGAAAATTTCAAGTTTCTGCTTGGTGTTAACAACCTGCAACATTTACAACTGCCAAAAAAACCTCCTTCAATCATTTTTATTCATCAATATTAATATTTATTTATAGTTTATAAATGTATATGTACTCGTATGTATGTATTTAGTATATATATTAAAAGATATATTATGTTGTACGTATGTATGTATTTTTATTTATAGTATTGTATATTCAAGATACTGTGTATATGCATGTATGTATTTAATTATGTAATGCAGTATTTTTTACACTATATGTGTAAGTATTTCTTATAAGCTCATGAGAGTCAAATATCAAACATATACTCGTATACATATTTATATGTATGTATATATATATATTGTGTATAAAATAACAGATTTTTTTCAATATTATTCGTATGCTAAGTTCTATCGTTGAACTCAACAGATAATTGTAAATAAATGGTTTTGTTATAAGTATTTTAGAAATTCGAACTCGAATTATCATATGTAAGTATGTATGTATATACTACAGTAGCGAAACTCCACTACTTTACGCCTACACTATTTGGTTTTAAAATTTTTCATTTACAACTTAAGGGAAATTCATTTCATGATAATTTAGGAATATAACATTGCGTGTTCATCTTATTTAAATTATTATTTATGACTATGTGTTTAGTTTTAGTAGTTGATTGCAATTCAAAGTTGCACACTTATCTATGCGTGCGCGCTGTTGAATATTTTGTATTGGTATAATTTATTGTGGATGAGCAGATTAAAAATAAACTGTAAAAAGTAAAATATCAGCAAATGAATGAGTACAAAAATGCGTGACAAAACGGCCTTTCAAACTTCGTTAAACTAGTCAGGCTAAGAGCTTATTGTTTTCGAACACTGACGGTGTGGTTTAGCATGCACTCTTTAATTTTTTTTTCCAATTTAGTCACTTATATTTGCATATTATTGAAGTATATGAAGTCTGTATATAACATATGCGCATTTATGCTTTATTAATGTAATTTTTTCATGATATTATGTAGATATATAAATTACGTTTGAAAAAAATTTTGCATTCAAACATTTACTATTGACATTTACGTATTTTTTTAAGGTTCATGTTGTCTGACAAATTTCTCGAGCAATTTCGGTAATTGATTGCGGTAAGGAATTTTATATTTACTTATTACAGTTGCAGCCATACACCTGAGATTCATATAATTGATTAACGGTATTGTATTGATAGGATTGCCGGCGATTAAGTTAAACGGGCGCTCGTCTGATTTATTCGGCTGATCTAAATCCGCACCCCTTTCCAATAATAAATGTATTATCTAAAGTGAAAAGGCAATGGAAAAAATTATTTTAAATGTAAGTTAATAGATTAGTGTAAATAATTTTTGAAAGCAAAAAAATCATAGTAGGATGAAATCCATGGAAAAAGAAAATAACACAAATTAAATGGAAAAAATTTACAGGCGACCTTATGGCGGGAAAGGGAAGGGGAGAGGCGTGGTTGAACTTAAAAATTAAAAACGATTTACCTCGATTTCCGGTAAAAATGAAGGCTTGAATCGTTTGATGGCGTCTTTTTTTACTTTTTCTGAAAATCGAATTATTATAAAGAAAAAGCCTACCGACTTTTTTAAAAAAGCAGATATTATGACATGAGAATTTTCAATTCAAAATTAGGGTTTCATTCGATTTTAAGTCAAACTAGAAAAAAACGTTAACTTCGGTTGCACCGAAGCTGTAATACCCTTCACAAATAACGAAGTTTCCATACTAGAAATTCTTCAGGTATTGTAGCGTTGACTTAGAAAATAAAATATACTAAATTTCGTAGAAATATCTCGTCAAATATATGCTATTGTGATCCGATTAAAACAATATCTTGAGAGAGTACCCGTTGCTTTGAGCAATAATACATGTCTAATTTCGTGCAGATATCTTGTCAAATGAAAAAGTTTCCATTCAAGCACTTGATTCCGATCGTTCAGTTTGTATGGCAGCTATATGCTATAGTGGTCCAGTCTCGGCGTTTTGGCCAATGGACAGCTTCTTGTGGAGAAAAGGGCATGTACAAATATTCAGATCGATATCTCAAAAGCATAGTCCCTTTCGCGTATATACAGACAGACAGACAGACGGCCAAATCAACTCAGCTCATCATTCAGATATATATTCTATGGGTTTCCCGACGGTTCTTTTTGGGTGTTGCAAACATCGTAACAAACTTAATATACCCTGTACAGAATATTAAAATAAATATAAAAAATACAGTGTGTTTGGGACATAAGAAGGTAAGTTTTCACCAAATTTCGTGAAAGAAAAAACTTTTTTTACAAGATAAAAAAGCCCAAAAGCTGGGTTATTTAATTTTTCACATATATTTTGAGGATATGTGAAAAGGGTGTTAATATAATAATGTTGTAGATCTTTTCATTACCTACCACTACGGCATATAACTTTTTTCTATGGGACTCGTAGTTTTGCCGGAAATCGAGATGAACCCTTCTTAACCCTTACAAATTCAAACACGCCCCTCTCCTCTTACCTACCTCAGATCGCACGTAAATTATTTTTCTGTCATTTTTTTTATTTTTATTTTATTTCTTTTCCAGTGGATTTCAACCTACCATGATTTTTTTTACTTTTTTACCGTTTTCAAAGGCAGTAGAAAATAAGAAAATTTTCGTTTTACTCACTCTATTACTATAATTATATGGTTGTACAGCAACATGTAATGCCGTTGATTTGGCCTCGTTTTTAGCATTCACATTCATACCACAATCGAGTAATAGTTTAACAACCATATCGTTGGGAAATACAATCTACATTAGAGCAAAAATTTGTATACATAAGTATTTAACATATTTCGATTTCAATTATAATAATCATACACTTACGTTTAAGTGGTTCTCATCGCTTAAGTAACCGCTCTTTATGACATTCAATCGTGAAACGCACAAATGTAGCAACGTATCGTAAGTACATGCGCTACGCACCCTCGTATGCACCAAATCGTAAACAGCATAGTATACATCCTTTCTTTTGTCAGCTGTATCCGAAGTACCTAATAATAGGTAAATCAAATGCGCTATGCATTTTAATATGCGATCGAAATTCTCTTGCTGTTTACGATAAACTGGCCGAATCTGCAACAGCTGTTGTGCCTCTGCTACCGTACCACTTAGTAGGCGAAAAACGCCAATTACATCTTCGAAAACTGGCAAATGCTCATCTTTGCCCACGTCATCTTCAAATTCTTCACCGAAAAATTCACGTATATCCACTTCGCGGTGCTCCAGCTCCACATTCCGCAAATAACGTTCATGCAAATCGATCATTAGACGTACTAATGTTTGGGCGGCATAACACGTATCGAAATGTAGTATAGAGAAATGCGTAACACGTACTTCTAACAACAGACGCCACAAATCGATACAGCGTTGTAGTTGCAGGGAGTCCGCATATGATGCACCACGAAATGTTAAACGAAAGAGCATGTCTTTGTGCGTTAAACCAAGTATGCGCTCACATATCAATAAACTTTGAATACGCATTGCATCCACATCGATGGCAATATTGTCGAGCTCTTCAAGTGTTGTAAATTCAATAGCATTACCATAGGCTGGCCGAAGTGGCACCCTTGGTAGTTTTTCTACACACAACATTATGAAGATAATTCAAATTTTATTAAATCAAATGTTTTTTTTTTATTTTTATGATACAAGGAAAGTCTCTTTAATGACGGCGCATACTTACGAAGGTAGGGGGTATGTGAAGCGCGAATATGATGTGCCAATCGCCAATGAAGTATCGCCACTCTAGTTTCATTATGTTCGTCCAAATATGTAGAGCCTAAAATGATAAAAAAAATCAATCAAGAAATATTCCCTAAAAAGGGAAGAGAATAATTTTAATCCCAAATACGGGATTAAAAAAAAATTAATCACAAATTTTAAAAAGGTATATTTTTTTTAGAATTCACATTTTTTGGCGTTTGCGTACTGCGTGTTCCACTATTTGGATTATCTTTTGAAAAAGAAGGCATATTTTTTTAATAAAATATCAACAAGGTCTAGTTGGCTATTTTTGTCTTAGTTAAGTATGTATATTCAATTACTTTTAATTTTAGTGCTTCCCTTATAAATATGTAAATCTTTCATATTTTACCCCTTTCCATTCCAGCTTTTAATATGAAAAATATTTTCTTTATTTGTTACTCTATTTTATAAATTAAAAACTAATTTCTCAAATTTCAATTCATGATGTTTGGGTTTAAAAATTAAAGCATCAATTTTTGTTCACAAATTGAAAAAAACAATTTTTCAATTTTTATCCCAAACATTTTACATTAACAATTAAATGTTAAATTTTTAATCCCAAAATGCGTATTAAAAACTTACCAACACTGATACCAAAAATACTTTCACTTACCGATCAGTTCGTGAGCCTCGGCCAAGCGTTCAGATGAGTACTCTAAGTGTGTTTTCAAATAATCGAAAATTTGACTTGCTCCTTTAATGCAAGCCGTTCGCATGGCATCATCACCGTAGCGACTTTTCACATATGGATCGGCTCCATGCTCCAATAATAACTTTGTAGTTTCTAATCTGTTTATTTTATTTAAATAAAAAAATAAAAAAAAATCTTGTAAAAGGAAAAAATAAAAATTCGACTTTACAAACCTATGTTCCTGTATGGCATAATGTAGGGCAGTCTTCTCTTGTATATCTTTGGCGTTGACATCAGCGCCTTTTTTCAATAAATATAAACATAATTGTGGTGATTGCACGGAATTGATCAGACATGTGCCACCATTAATGTTGGGTTTTTGGATGTCGGCACCAGCTTCAACCAAATATTGTACTGTAATATTATAAGTATTATTTTAACAGTTGATTCAAATTAATTAAACTCTGTAAATAATTTTTTCATATTACGCTAACAAATATTTCTAAAGCAACAGTGACAGTACACCTACCGATTTCGACATGTGTCATAAAGCAGGCGCTGCGCACCGGTGTTGAACCTGAATCTGAAGTTGCATTTATATCACAGCCAATGCGTATTAAATATTTTACCATCGGCAATTTTCCAGACACTACAGCGCACCAAAGCGGTGTAACGTAATGAAAGGTATGATCTTCAGGTACCTCATACAAGCCGCGCTGTTCAATATCGGCCTCACATACAGTGACCAAGTATTCCGCAATAGGCACACAACCCCGTTTGCAGGCGATAAAGAGAGGAGCGCAACCATTTCGCGCTTTCTTAACGACTTCCCGACGTATGTCACGGCAATAGCTAAAAATAAATACAAAAAACAAATGTACATTTTCTTATACCGTTCTCTTAAACAACAAATCGAGCCGAATTTCGTGAAGATATCTTGTCAAAAAAGTTTTACATACAAGGACATGATATTGATCGTTCAGTTTGTATGGCGCCCGTTATGTTCGGTATGTACAGACAGGCAGACGAACGGACAGACAGATGGATATGGACTTTAGAGGGTCTCCGGCGTTTCTTCTAGGTGTTACAAACTTCATGGCAAACTTAATTTACCCTGTTCAGAGTATAAGTATATATAAAAAATATTTTGAAATTAAAACTTTCTTATATATAAATATTTCAAAAAGTATGAAAGGAAAATATATGTAAAGAAACGCGAACTTCATGAATTTCACCTCCAATATCATTCTCAATGAATTACTGGTATTTCACGCAGGTACCATAATTTACAGTATTATAATGTTTTTTTTTTTTTTTTTTTTAATAAAATAACGCACAATTATAATTTGCATTTTTAAATATCGAAACAACAGTATTTTATGGCAATGAGGAACACGTGCATATACATAATATGTATATGTACCATGCACCTATGTAGCAGGTATATATGCATATATTAAATGTTTTCAGGGCTCTGAAAACACAAAATGGTTATTTAATTCAATTAATGCACAGCAAACCGTAAGATTGCATCACACCCAAATATTAAACTGCAGTTAATGAAAGTATTGGTATTGTTTATTAATTTTACTTCAGTATTGATTATTAATTAATGTCATATTTACGTACCTTTCCAGTTCATCGCGTATACTTTTAGATAAATTCGAGTCTTCTTTACACCGTTTGCATTCCTCTATTAAATCATAATTTAGTTTAGTGATCTTCCTCTGCATGCTGGGTACAATAAACGAAAGCCATCCATTAACTCGGTCCACAGTATTTCCATCAGTCGTTGAATTTTGTCCCGTGGTGGCGCGTTCCGAATTCGCACTACCACCACTCATTACTGCGCCTAGTTTTTGGCCTCCAGCTGTTTGGTGTTTAACTAACTCCTATTTTTTTGGTATAAGTTATCGTTGGCGTAATTTCTGTTTTCACATCCAGAATTAACAAAACATATCTATATTTTTTTCCACTTTTCCTTCAAGAAAATTTACAATTTACCTTCTTTTTATTATTTTCCTTTGCCTTACTTAAACTTGAAATTTTATGCTTCTATTGGCTAATGTTTGCATTCAAACTATTGCGCACTTTTTATGTTTAGGTTGCAAAACTCACTTCAATACTTTTAAATTTATCGTGTAAATAAAAATAGAACTGTTAAATTGTTTGAGAGAAAAAATCATTTGTTTTGCTTTTGTCTCACAATGAATACAAGCAAAGTTAGTGCTACCAGCAAACTTTATTCATTACAAATATGTAGAAGGATGCCACCAGGTAAAGGCTGTCACGGATGCCATATAAAATAAATTCCAAATACAGGGTTGCTACAACTATTTATTTGTTCGCCTGATTGCCAACCGGTAACATTTTTCGCTGTTGTGAGTTGAAAAAAGTTTACCTCTGTTTTGCCAAATGGAAAGTAAAATTTTGACAATTGAAATTCAAAACAAACATAATTGTGTGAATTATATTGTTTCAGCAAGATTTCAGTTCAAACTTCTGAGATTTTAAAGCTATGTTTAATAAAATCTTATTTTAGAGATCATAGTCTATTTATTGATTTCAAATTTATTTAATATTCTTTTGTAAAACAAGGCGAAATCACTCTGAGCTTAGCGAGTAAAAACAGTAACTAACTATTTGCAAAAAAAGTGTTACAACAACAATTAATTGTTACGGAAACAATTATTTTTTGGAGTTTACTCCTTAAGAATCGATTTTCATATATAAGGCGCCCGGTAAAGTTTCACGTTTTTGGTGCGCACCTGTAGTGCGCAACTTTCTAATTTAGCTGTGAGTGTATTGAGACGTACATAGGGTATGATGTATAGGCGACTATACCTATATACTATATGTTATTGGGCTTGTTTGTTTCTATCAGTGTCGATGTATTTATATTGCTATTTTTGTTATAAATATCAATAATTAACATTGTAATTGTGAAGTTATAATTTTTTTTTAATCAAAAAAAAAATTCGAAATATTTATGGCAAAAGGGTGCAGATAATATTGCCGGAACATCTGACGAAAACGTGTGTGCAAGGTACGTTATAATTTATGTATTATATGCATGGGCATGTGCGATTTGTATTTATTAAATATTTAATAATTATTGATGAAGTTCATATAAATATATATTTGAGAACAACACATAAAATTAGATATTTAATCCCATATGAATTATCAAGCGCATCCACGTAAAATAGACAATTTCTAACCTAACAAAAAATTATTTTTTTCAATGTCAATAAATTCCTCCCAGTTACTATGATTTATTTTCTTAATAATTTTTAAATATTAATAATTCAAGTCAATAATTCGATACTATGTGAAAATCAACAAATATTCTCGATTAATAATGTTTTTCTGAAAATTAATCTTAAATTAATCTTAAAATTAAATTTAATAAAATTCAAATTAAAATTCAATTAGTCTTAAATTAATCTTAAATTAATTTTCTGAAAAATTAAATTTAATCTGAAAATCAACAATATTTCTTGATTATAATAATGTTTTTATAAAATTTTCTTTTGGAAAGTTATTTTTAGCATACTTAAATAATTTTATGTACTATTTATTATTGTACGTAAAAATTTAGTGAGATAATTACCTTTTACAACTATATTTTGTCAGTTATTAAGATAATTATATATTGAAAAACAATTAGTTATAATCATTTAAAAATGTTTATAAAAATTTTTATTATCAATTTTCTAAAATTGGTTAAAATTTTCTAATTATGCATTTATAAATTTTCTAATGTTTAAAAATTTTTACTAGGAAAAAATCAAAACCACCTCCAAAACCTCCAGCCGAGAGACAACGAATTTGCAGATTGAAAAAAAAGCGCATTAATGAAGGAAGCACAAAAGATTCTGACAACCAGAATGTTTGTTCATCGGAACAAAGGATCTTACGCCACTTTTTGAATTTTCTTCATCGGTCCGATTTATATGAAAGCAAGCTGAAGCAAAACCAATCCGATTGTTCCGCTGTCTTTTTTGTCCACATTGGGACTTCCCGGCACAATCTTCCGAGGAGATTATTTTCTAAAAGGCGACGCACAACAGTTCTCGAAGAAAGTTCCATACCCAATTCTCTTTGGATAGCTAACGTCTTCCTGAGACGTCGTTTTTCGTGGCAGACCCCTCAATTCGCATTATTTTGGAGGTTTCAAAGCAGTAAACTCAAACTTTTGGCATCTTTTTATACTTTTTGAAAATTCACTTTGTGTATAACCGTTATTTTGTAAATTTGTATAAGCTTAAGCTCTACCGCCTGTGCAGTGCTTTCCTCGGCCATTTATTCTACAAATAATACTTGATTATAAGAAAATGTCAAATTTTACTAATATCCTAAGGATTATATATTTGCAGCATAATTTTTTACTAAATAACGGTATTTTATTTTTTGATTCTATTTCTTTTTTGTCACGATAACAAATACCCACTTTTGTTTAATTTGAACACAAAGATAACAGTAAAATATAACGGAGCTACCATCATGATGTTTTGAAAGATAAATATATCGGACATATAATATAGATTGTTAATTATTTCGGAACTTCTATTTGATTCTATTTTATTGTCAGTAACTGTATATATTAAGATCAGCTAACCAACATTTTTATTAGTGTTACTGACATCCGTTTAGTTTGTTAGTTTGCTTTCCGCTATATTTACAAGTAGCTAACTCCTGCATTTTTATTTAAGCTTGCTTGAGACAAACTTTAATATATTATTTCGGACATTCGGCTTCAGCACGAAAAATGAAAATTTCACTTTTATGTCTGAATTTAAATTTTTCTACCGTTTGGCACATAGCCTTTTTGAACACTTGCACCGTCTTCGATTCACCAATTTTCTACTCGCTAATTTTTTCAATATCAAACGTTTTTGTTTTTTTGAATGAACGCTTACTATTCGAATAGTCGACAACGAACGGTTAACCGAATAGTCGAAAATGAGCGGTTAACCGAATAGTCTACAACTTAGACAACATTATCCGGATAGCGCAAACCGAATATTATTATTCAAATAATGAACAATCCGGTTAGTCGATTAGTTGAATAACAAGAGCTGTATAATGTTTGCATAAGGAAATATAAAGTTTATAAAAGTTCTTTATTTCGCATTTTATACATATACATATATTTTAAAAACTTATTCAATGCTAAAATGGTGGAGGAACTTTGAAAACAATAGCGCAACCCACAGTAACCACCGTTAGTAATACACCCGTGGCTGTTCCTATTACTGTTTTCATAGCCTCTCCTCTTAGTATGTACCGTTTGAGTACGCCTTCAGCTTCGACTATCAATTCCGACCGATATTTTTCATATATTTCTTGGTTAAAAATAGGTGTGTCTTTTAAACTTTTATGCTATATGTAGTAAGAAAAAGAAAATCAAGTATTAACGAATTAAGGCAGGGCTATGTTCGGATGTAACCGAACATTTTATACTTTCGCAGCTTGCATAGATCAAAGCCTAGGAAATAACTTAGGATGTTGGCAAAACTTTATATTAAACAAGAGAAAACGTTAACTTCGGTTGCACCGAATCTATAATACCCTTCACGACTACAACCTCACAATAACTTGATTCTGATCGTTCAGTTTGTATGGCAGTAATATGCTATAGTGGTCCGATCTGGACAACTTCTTCGGACATTGTCCCGCCCTATTATTTTAGACAATAACTTATACCAAATTTCGTAAAAATATCTCGTCAAATACAAAGGTTTTCCATACATTGTTCGGCGAAATCGTGAATGGATTACAATCAAATTTGGTATTTCATTTTGACCAAACCTAAATGGTTTAAAGTCACCTGGAAAGTTGGTAATCATTATAAAGGGCATATTGGGGGCAGAGAAAGGTCTGGACTTGTTGCATTAACTTATGATATTGCTTAGGTATACTTGAGAACATATTTTCAAGCAATTTTATATATACATACGAGTATGAATACATATTACTCACACACTGGCCGACATATTCGTATATGTAGTAAATGAGAGTTAGAGCAATTCATAGACAGATTACACATATTTTAGGCATTTAACTATAGTATAAGTGGTACAAAGTCAACTGGAAATTCGAAAATACTTATATTAGGTATATGGTGGCTAAGGGAATTATTATCTCAATTCAACATAATCTCTCTTGTACCACCCCGGGTGTATAATTTGTTGTCTCTGACGCATTTATTTATTGATTTGTCGCATTTTTAGTATTTTTTCTAACAACTGTCATAAGGAGAGGGGCTAACAAAACCAGTTGTTCAGAGCAAATTTGGTTGATTTGACTTGGTGGTTTGGGAGATACTTATGTAGATTAAACCTAGAATAGGGCTAGCCCACGCCCACCGTTTTGTATTTTATCATTGTCATGGGGCATAGTTATGGCACTATATAGCTTTTTAATTATGAGCGTTTTATGGACGTGACAATGGTCCGATTCTACTAAGTTTCATTAAGATATTTCCATTTTTACTCATGGACAGACAGTCACACGGATTTCAACTCGCCTCATCATCCTGATCATTTATATATGTATTAATACAACCCTACATCTATCTCGATTAGTTTTAAGTGGTACAGACAACCGTTAGGTGAACAAAACTTACACTTTGTAGCAAAATGTTGCGAGAGTATTAAAATAATAAATATAATACTTAACAAATATAATACATAATAGCTTAAAGCTGTTTGTAATTACTGACAACGTCATCAACTGAAGCAAATATGCCGAGTTGCTCAAGGGATTCCAATAGTACCCTTTTCGCTTTTATCTTCATCGATATGCAATTTTGCACGAACAGAAGCTAAAGAAAAGTATGTTCCCTTGTTAAACCTTCGCTTGCATACATATGTGTGTGTATACATACCATACCCCTTTCATTTTGTGACCTATAATATTCGCGAAGTTCTTCAATTTCTCCAACAAGCTGTTGACGCCTTTCGTCCATATAATTTTCGGAATCATCCTTAGTTGGTAAACCTTCAAACTGTACCAACACAAAAAAAATTATATAAGCATATTTATGTTAAACTAATTATGGCAAATCAAATTTCAGTACCTCTTCAAGAACTTTCATTTTACACTCTTCGTGTTTAGATAAAAGAGCATCATTTGTTAATATATTTTTGCAAGCATCCTTCATTAGGCCTTCATAATTCATTATTAAATGAGACAATTGTTGTTGTAAATTTTGCTATAAAGGATTTAATACAAAAATTTTGATATAATGAAGTTAATTATTATTTTTTAGTCACACAAGTAAGAATATGTTAAAATTGATTCGAAAAGGTCAAAATAATCCCAAGAGCGGAAACGGTGAAATCTAATCAGTTTATTGCTTCGAACTGGATACTTATTATTATGATTTATTTTTTAATCACACATTAAGTATACATTTTAAAACCGTTTGTGTAAATAAAAAATGATTTTCTGTCAACAATGAAATAAAAAAAATCAACTATTAAACTTTAACCAACAAGATAAATACAATTCCATGGTATAACTATTTAACTCGACCCTCGGTCCTTTTTACTGTCCGTAAATACTAATCATAGATTTATTCCGCCTCATTCGGCTCCAAGTAGTAATAATAACGTACTATACAAAGTTATACGAGTTTTAATTAGTTTAGACCATTATTTATACTACCTGTTTATTTACGCTCCATTCTTTGTAAGAATTAAACTTTTCATCAATATATCTAATTAGCTGCTTTTCACATTCGTTAAAGAAGCTTTCTGCGCCAACCTGCGGTACTTTACGAAACTGTAAGTAAACAGCAAAATTTATTAGCATTGATTTGACGTATTTGAAATTTATTTATTATTATTATACCCTTTCTAAAGCCCGATCCTTTGCGTCTGGATGTGTCGCTTCTATGGATTCTTCCGTATTGTTCATGAGTTCTTTGTATAACTTCTTCGCTTCCGAACTCTCCATAGTAATAGCGGATTTGATCAAATCCTACATACAAGAAATGCATAAAGTAGGATAATGGTATCAGGTTTATAATCCACTTGTGAATTTCAAAATTGATTTTATAAATGTACGTATATTTGAAAGTTAATAAAGCAAATAGTTTCGGAGATATGACCGTATTTATTATATTTGTTTTTAACAGTTATCGGCACCTAAATCTTTTAACACATTTTCCCAACACTGTTCTCAGAGTCGGTGAGTTTCCTAAAACGACTGGACGATCGACTTAAAATTTCACACCACCTTATAGTATTTGTCATAATATGAAAGAATATTTTCGAGAATAATTTCGTTTTTTTAAACCACTCTCAAATGTAAATTTTGTCACAAAAACCACTTTTCCTTTTGAAAAGCTGTCATTTTGTTAAAAATCAAAATTTTGACTTGTGCTTCGATTAATACCTGTAATTCATCTATTGTTAGAATATATATTTTTTTGGTTTTGGAATTTGAGATAATTTTAGTAGATAATAAAAGTAGAAAAGAATTCCTCACCGTCAGACAAATGATTCATTGTTTATTAAATTTTCAAATAAAAAAATACGTATAAACGCGTTTATTCTAACTTGCAAGTGGATATAACACCTTAATTTGTGAAAAAAAAAATGTCGAAATATAACGGCTACGACTATTAAGCTGTTTCATCCATTTTGTTCTTGTGCTACCTACCAATTTAATATCATTGTGTTGTTTGTATTTAATGCAATGTTTTTCGACAGCCTCTTTAAGTTCATCACGAATGTGTCTATGTATATCCTCTGTACTGCTCAATCGAATCGAATCAAACTGCAAACCGTATTGAGAAAAAAAAACTATAAAATGTTTTTTTTATATTATGTATCTTTGTATTTACCTGTTCTAGAATTTTCAATTTTACAGCTTCCATTTTGCTATTGAACTCATTTGGAGGAATATATTCATTTCCTATAAGCATATTATCCATAAGCTTCTCAAAATCTATAATGCATTTATTCATATTGTTTAAATAATTGAGTTCGGCAAGATCCTAGAAATTAATAATAGCTTATTAAGTCATTAATTGTATTAACAAATTGTTACAGAATTTTATCAGTTTAGCTTTATTGATCTTGACGAATTGTTGAAATCTGGACGAAGTATAGTTTTTTATTTTTTTGCAATATTTCTTCAAAAAATCTGCTTTGCCCAATAATGGCGTATTCGTATAAGTTGCAAGCGCTTCCATTTCAATTTCCTCATGCCTTTTGTTTAGTTCTTCTTCCGCAATATATGGTTTTTCGGGACTGGTTAGTTCGTTCATTTTTTCCATATATAATTCTTCGGCTTTTGAGGCATGGATTTGATTATTTGCCTCGGCAGTAGCCTTGAAAAGAAAATGTACGTGTAATCAAGTTTTCAATTCGCACATTTTATAAAATGCTAATAAATATACATATATATACCTTAAAAATTGTTGTAGGCTCTGGGAACTCCTTGCTGTTGAATGATTCAAAGTATGACCGAATGAAGTTTAGGAGATGAGCGACTTTTAACTTCTGCCCGTTTATTTCTTTGATAATTAAATTTTCCGGTGCCAAAATTAAGGGAATCAAGTCGCGTAAATGTTTCCTGAACTCGCTTCGAAGATCTTTTAAACAACCGCGAAAATTGGGGTTTTCGATAGCATCACCAGGATGTGGCATTAAATAACAATCAATTTCGTTGAAACTAGTTGTCACATTCTTACATAGTTGTTCATTCTCCTCCGATCTCTTGTCTTTCGAAAATATTGTTTGTTCCAGTATTTGTTTACCACCGAGTGCACCGAACGGAGCTTCACAGATATGGATCCAGTCGCGTATTAAAAATTGTAACTTTTGAAATGGTTTCTTTCCCGTATTCTCCATAGCAATACGAGCATACTCGGTGAATAACTGCAAATGCTGTAGATCGTCCTTTTGTATATTAGATTGAATATTGAAAATTTGAACTGAGGATATCATTGTGCTTAGTGCAAAAATATTGGCACAATCCTTCATGGTACTGTCACAATCGAAAGTGCCCTGCGTGTCCATTAAAATTATTGCAACTTTTTCTCCATTTGGAAAGTCATATAGGAAGATGTCAGACCATATTAAAATTCCAATGGTATCGCGTTGCGAACCGCCTCGCCATGAAAATCCTTGTAGTGGTTCATTCTCATCGCCAAACCAATCGTTATCATTCAAGTTATTATAAACGTACTAAGGTGAGTTTCGAAAGCAATAAAACGTGTATATAATTTATTTTCTATGATTTAAGGTAAAGCTTCAAAAGCAAAGAAGATACCCTTAAAAGAATCGGCTTGATTTTTATATCTTAGATGCTCGATTAAAAATCTTGTGCCGCGTAATTTGTGGTAATTTAATTCGAACTCGTTTTATCCGACAACTTAATTGATCAATCGTACCAAATTCTGGCTCGACTATAAACCAAATAAATGAGGAAATGGTAGATAATTGATATTCTTTAATAGAACAAATAAGGAAGGTGTAAGCGAACATTTTAAATCTAAGACTAAAAGGCGATGAAATATTTTCATGTCTTGGCAAACCTTTATATTAATATGCACTACCTAATATATTACATAACTGAGAATATGTTTCCATGCAATTTTATTAATATTTCTCTCACAATGATTGATATATTCGGCATAAAGTCCATTAGAATAACGAAAATCATTTGATACCGTCTAACATATAGGGGCTGTAATAATTCATTGACCGAAACAACCGTTAGGTGAGCAATCGCTTAATTTTGATGAGATATCGTATATATTGACCCATATATAAAATATAAAACGATCAGGAAATTTGAAAATCCTTATATAATCTATACTTATTGTATGCGTTTACTGATTTTTGGCACCAGGGTACATTATTTTCAAGAAATCTTACATCTTGATCACTGTTTTCGGTAAAAGACTGTCAAAAGGGGTCTTGAAAAACCATTGTCCGATTGTGACCATTTTAAGCAGCGAGGTGCCACACCTTAAAGGCACTATTTCCTCGAAGTTTTGTTTCAATATCCGTTGGTGCTTGATATATGTATATGTATATGGTGGAGAGAAAGAATCTGATGGAATTTAAAATTGTGTTATATGGAAAGTATGTGTGGTTAAAGTTCAATTGCCTCTATTTTCAAATTGTAACATAAAGATGATAATACTATAATAAGCGAACTAGTCCCTCAATTTTTGACCTAAAATTTTGCAAACGTCCTTTTCACCCAAAGAAACTGCTCATTTGTCGGAACTGCCGAATCGGACCACTATAGCATATGGCTCGCATACGAACTGACTGATCAGAATCAAGATAAAGATCTTCATAATAGTAGAAGCGTTTACATATTGCAATATGATTGAAAGATAAATGCAATATTTTATTTTTACTCTATTGTTGATAAAAAATAACACTTACTTTGGCATACATGTAACGTAGAAAGAAATCCAAAAGAAAGCTTTTCCCTTTGCGAAAAGCTCCGGCTACTGAAATCACAGACACTACGCGATCTTTGATTTTTTCGTCCAATAACATCTTATTTAATTCATCTTCATTTAATTGCAGAATGCAACGAAAACTGGACGAATCTTCTTCTCCACAAATGCTTATAATTTGCATTGGTTTTCCTTGCATTGGTTTTCCTTGCATTTTGAAAACTGAAAATAAATAGCATAAATTGATATAATTTGTATTACATTGTACAGTGACCTTAACCTATACGTTACACGATTAAGCAATATCGCTATCAAGTTAAAATACATTCACATATTTTTTCCACCCCACTCTCACTTGTTGAACTTGAACCCTATCTTGATAACAATTTTTCCAATCAAGGCTTGTGTTAAGTCAATATTTTTGCAAAAAAGGAAAAACTATGCAATTCTAGAGACTATGAATCTTTCGTTGCATTGATGGACTGATATCAAAATAAGGGCATATCAACTTCTACAGAACAGCTTATAACACAGGAAAAACATTTTATACTCTCGCAAAGTCAAAACCAAATAAGTCATGTACTTATCTTGTTGTGGAGCATAGTAATGCCAATTTATTCGTTTTTGATTAATGGCGTTTTGTGGGCGTGCCAATGGTCAGATTACGCCCATCTGAATATGTGTACCAAGTTTCATAAAGTTATCTCAATTTTTACTCAAGTTACAGTTTGCACGGACGGACGGACTGGCAGTCACCCGGATTCCAACTCGTCTCTTCGCCCCGATCATTTATATATATATAATTCTATAGCTAACTTGATTAGTTTTAGGTGATACATACAACCGTTACTAAACTATACATTTACTCATATTTCAATATACACATAAACACTGGTATATCGTTCATGACTACTTTTGTAAGTATAATAAATTAGCGGCCAAGGCCACACCAACTTTTAAAAAACTTCGAAAAACGAAACAAAGCTACGCATATACACTAAATATTTTAACATGATCCTAGGGCGTAAATTTGAGTGTGAAAACGTGTGACTTACCTGGTTGATTTTTAGACTTTTCCCCAAAACTAAAAAAATGATCTAATTATATACTTACATACATGTTATAAGGGGTAGCGAAAGTCTATTCACAATAGTTCTACCTCTGAGGTGTACGTTCAATAAAACCAACATGGTGGCCATGTAAGTTAGGTGGCAGGGACTAACACGTTACGCATAGCAGAAAACGCCTAAATAATTATTTATAAATATTTTAAATTTGGTTATTAATTGATATTTAATCTAACAATATAATATCATACCATGTTGATATAGGTAAATATATATTTTAAGCATTTTAAATAACTTATTAATGGGCAAACTGAAATTCAATTTAACTATGAGTGGACGGGAAGAAATAACTATTGTAACAAATTTGTTACTATATATAATAATAATTTATATAATCAAAAAGGCAAAACTTATCACTGCCATACAAGTGATAATAATTCATTTAAGCAATAAAGCAAAATTTATCATTGTACTTATATCAAGAAATTTTACTAGTGCTCTAATTTAAGTATAGATTTATTTAATCACAAATTTTATTTACGTTCTATATATCAGCAATTAATGGTGGATATATGTACAATGGTTTATTACAACTTTTCACATACAAAATTACCATATTATTATATAGTTCTTAAGTTAGTTTTTAAATATATAGACTTCTAAAATAAATTATTTTTTGAAGTTGCAATATCTTTATAGTATAAAATACGGTAGGCATATCAGGTAGTTGTCTCTGTATTTCCGCATGTAGCTATTATAATATGTACAATATTTTACATATAACTTTTTACATAAATCAATTACCATATTGTTATATAGTTCTAAATTTAGTTTTTAAATATATAGACTCCTAAAATAAATGATTTGTTGAAGTTGCAATTACTTTATAGTATAAAACATTTTATAAGGGTATAAAATACGGTAGATATATTTCTTTTTTAAAAAGTAATATAAAATTAGCTTGCGCAACACTGTTACGCAATGCTCAATAGCAATACTGGCATTTGAATTTATTAACAACTTGTAGTCAAACGCATTAATACACACCTGCTTATTGATAAAAATTCTTGTGTGAGCAGTTTTATCAGGAGCAGTATGAAATATTCATTGTTTTACGAAGATTGTATTGCAAATTTATAAACATTGCCCTCAGTTTCGTTGAATAAGCATTTTCTGCATCCCGTTATTTGACATGGTTGCTTAATTGCACCTGCATTTTTCTATGGTGAATATTTATTAAGTTACCACAGTTAAAATAAAGCATAAATATATATCGTAATTATTCTGAAATTTGCCAATAATAGCTGCTTTTTTAAGAACATATATTAAAATAAACTTATTTTATTTTGAAAACATATTAAAGTTTTACATTTAATCAATATTTTTTGGACAACTTTTTCATAAATTAAGAGAAAATAGCAAGATGCAACCATTTTCCGGTTAAAAGTCGGCCATCTTGGCTATCAATAGAAACTCAACCCCTAGGCGGACTTGACGTTTCTCCATGGACCCCTCTCAGCTGTAGCAAAGTTTACATTCATCAGCTGATTCTATCTCTACCCACCTTTAAGATGATTACAAATATGTAGAAGGATGCCACCAGGTAAAGACTGTCACGGATGCCATATAAAATAAATTCCAAATACAGGGTTGCTACAACTATTTATTTATTCGCCTGATCAGAGAACGTATATCATGATATACGACCTCTGCCAATATCCCAACCGTTACAACTGTTAAATTCTACAATTTTCCCAAGCTGGATTTTTCTAAGAAGTTAGTATATTTCTCCTACAACATGCTTAAAACTACGACATATAACTACTAACTTATATGTCAATGTTAAAGGTAATAAAAAAAATGTATAACTTTTGTATACAGCCTTTTTCACATAACCTCAAAATTTATGTGAACAATTCAAATAACCAAGTTTTTGGGTTTTTCTTATTTTTATCTTGTGAGAACAATTGTTTTTTTTTTCTCGAAATTTGGTGTTAACTTACCTTCTTATGTCCTAAACACACTGTATTTTTTAGATGAAACATTTTTATTTTTTTCCTTATATTGACCTTATATCCAAAAACAACCCTATATTTCAATCAAAAAATCTCAAGTTAAAATTTCAGATTTTTTAAAAATGTGAGTAAGCTTTATAATTGCTGAAATCTCTTCTTTCTGATGGTATTAAAAATATGTATATACTTACATATGTATGTATGTACATACATTACAATGGTAACTTTGCTCAGAAAATGCAATAAATGCTTTTTTAGTTCATCTACCTAATACTATCTAAATAATTTTCGTTGTAGCAGATGTAAAAAACGGCGGACAGACAGTTAGGCGGATTTCAACTAAATCCATCATCCTGATCATTTAAATATACATACTTACGTCATATACTCTTTATTTAAGTATATCGATTCGTTTTAGGTGTTCAAACAAGCGTTAGGTGACCAAGTTTCGGTTTAGTACTCTTTTATTTCAACTGGGGATTCTCTGAAATCGTGCATTCGAATGTACACATATGTACATACATTAATCTAACCAATGGACCAATGCGTTATCTCTAATATTAGGGCATATTACCTGATAGTCGCAAGTTGCGACGAACAAGGAATCAAGGAATTAGCTGGATAAGAAAAAAAAAATTCTGACATTAGTGCATTTTAAAAAGAGTAAAATTTTTTTTCCATGGCGTTTGTAAAAAGGAGCTTTGCCACTATAACTGAAATTATGGACCAAATTAATTAAAAATGATTAAAATTTTGTCAAGAGTTTAAAAGCAAGACGGAGTGTTGTAGGTACTTTGTACACTTATCAACAACTTCTAACAAACGCAAACTACATTAGATGCCAAATACTACATATTGCCTTTGATGGGAAGAATATTAATTTACGGTCAAACATGAAGGCGGCAGCGTTATGGCCTGGGGTGCAATGGCAAATGGTTTATATAGAAAGCAACTGTGGATAGTCTGGGTCCTGGTGCACGAAACTGGTTTCTTTACAATGCTCCTAGACAGCTAAACTCATCACGATCGTCACCAGATATAAATCCGATTGGATATAATTGGATATACTTTAAACTACCAACATATATTGTATATGTCAAATTATATAGGCATGTGACAATAGTTTTTATTACTCTACGAGCCAACTATCAGCGCGGGAACTAAGTACAATCAAGATAGTTTTAGGTCAATTCACACAACAGCCAGTTTTACGTTACCGGAATTGAGGCGGATTTTATCCGGCCAAGGGCTGCTATTTCGGCGATCTAACCCTGTTTGGATCGGTAAGTGTTAGTTTAAGTTTGTCACCTAGCAGCAGGGTTGCTCTGTATCCTCTTCAAATACCCGATGAGTCTAGCAGACCATCAGCATGGCACTTAGCGTCATAAACTCCCGGATAGTTCATGGCCTAAACCAGAAGCCACCCTACGAGAGGACGATCCTCGTTGCGTTGGACTTGTCAAAAGCTTTTGGCACAGTCAATCACACAACGCTACTTGAGGACCTAGAACAATCAACGCTCCCTCCAGGGCTAAAGCGGTGGACTATGAACTACCTGAGCGGTCGGCATTCATCCGTACTGTTTCGAGGTCAAAACTCCAAATTTAGTAGAATTAACCAGGTGGTTCCTCTCCCCACTACTGTTTAATTTTTACATTTCGAAACTCCCCCAAAAACCAGCGGGAATTTCCGTGACCTCGTAGACTGATGACTGCACGATATTGACGTAGGGCAATGGAATCGATGGCAATACACAGCGACCATTTTTACAAATTGAACGAAGGACGATGGATCTGAACATTTCAGTCGATGACACAATAATTCCGACAGTCAATAACCCTAAAATCTTAGGTGTTACATTGGACAGTCTGCTCCTTCACTCCTCATACGACCGCGATAACTGCCAAAGTACAGAGCCGCAACAAAATCCTCAAATCGCCTGCCGGCAGCTCTTGGGGTAAAGACAAAGAAACGTTGTTGGCAACATACAAGGCAATCGGCCGGCCGGTCCTAAGTTATGCATCACCAATATGGTCACCTGGATGTAGTGCAACGCTGACGAAGAAGCTTCAGACTTGTCAGAACACAGCACTCCGAACTATTATGGGATGCCTTTTGATGTACCCAATAGAACACCTGCAAAGTGAGGCCCTTATGCTTCCGGTTAAGGAACATAACGAGCTTCTCTTCAAGCAGCTTCTGCGAAAACACCCCTGCAGTCGTCTGCTTGAAGCGGAACCGCCTCCTAGCAACGCCAAGAGGTCCTTCCTTGATTACGTGGACGGCTTCAGACAGTACGCCGACCGGACTTCGGACGCAACGAACTATAAACAAGCACTGACCGCCATTCACAGTGCAGCTATTAACACCTTCATCGACTCCCTCTCAGTGAATGGCGTACTACGAGTCAAACCACCACCCATATCAGACGTAGAGATCGAGTTGTCTCGCGAAACCAGAGTGATCCTCGCGCAACTTCGTTCTGGATATTGTAGCAGGTTAAACTCCTACTTATCCAGAATAGACCCCGACATTCCAAACATATGTCCTGCTTGCAATGAGTCTCCGCATGATACTAACTACCTCTTTGCATGCCCAACAAACCCAACTCATCTAACACCCTTTTCCCTATGGTCCGATCCCGTCGAAACAGCTTGTTTCTTGGGCCTCCTGTTAGATGATCTCGACAACAACCAAACTATTACTTATCATCCAAGCGGGGACTAGATAACCGTTACAACAACAACAACTGGTTTTAGGTTTTATAATCGCCTCATCTATGTATTTACTAAGAACAAATAATAAACAAACAAAAAATTGTTAACTTCGGCAGTATAATATCCTTCACATGTGTACTTATTATCGTATAAAAGGGTATTAAAAGATATTTATCTTGACTTTGCTCGGACAGTTTGTATTACAGCCTAGATGCTATAGTGACCCTATATCAACGGATATAGAATGTAAAATTTCCAATCGAAATCTCGAAACTATGGGACTAGACTAAATAGCTAAATCGACTCAGCTCGTCACGCTGATCATTTTTGTTTTTTTTTTATATTAAAATAAAATTATTACTATTTTAAAACGACCACTAACCAACAATCTATGAATGTATGTACATTTATTTATATATATATTTATATCATTATTTATATTTTTTATGAATATTTTCTTGCTTGTTTTATTATAAAAACTAGTTACGTTAAGTAAATATTTGATGTGGCATTTAAGTGTCCCCATTGGTAAGCGTACTACTTTTCCGTGCTTTCAGACGTTCAACTTCTATGTGCGCCTTTTGCAATTGATCCTCTAACTCTGCACACTTTTGTTCAATTTCATAATTTTTAGATACCAACAATACCCAATTGGCCTCTAATGATTTTAACTTGTCTCCGGCTTGTGTTTGCGCCTGCTTACGTTGCCAGTTAATATCTTGTATTTGTTTTTTTGATTCCTGCAATTGCGTCAGTGTTTTAGCCTGTAACGCGGCTATAACTTCTAAATATGCTTTCCAAGACTCTATACCATAATCCAACATTAATTCCAGGTTCATTGCACGCACCCATTGATGTTCTAGTTGTGCCATGGAATTTTCTATAGACTCTTGCCAAGCGCTTACTTCCGACAGTTTACCAGACGGTGGGGGTGGCAATTCGTACCGTTTCATGCTTAGAGTTTCCATTGGTTGGCGATTTTGTATTCTCTCAAATTCGCTTGCCATTAGTTCGGTTTCAAAAGCATTTGCATTTAAAGGTGGTAAATGATCAAGATAATTCTTTGTGGGCCTATAACGTCGGCATTCTTCCTCCACCATAGCAAGGGCCTGAAATTAAAGTGCCGTTTATATATTGGATATTGATGTTATATTATTGCATACCGATTCTCGAACTCCTGCGTCATCGTAGCCTTGATCAATGTAAGGTAATGCATCAACTGTTACCTCACCTGCCATAAAATATAAAATTTAATAGACTTTTAAAATTAGTAGGGAGTAAAATGTGAATGCGATAAATTGATTATATATTCTTCTTCTTCCCAATTTCAATTCACAAATATGAAATTATTCTTCTTCTATTGGCGCGCTTACAATAATGTGTGTACTTTGCTTCACTTTATTTACAGAGACTGATCATATATGATATATATCATATATATACGTTCTTTGGTATTTATAAATACCTTAAGGAAGAGTGTTTACAACATTAAATCTGAATTAATGACAACATACAATACTGTACTATATTCTGAATTGCCTTATCAAGAACAAGCACTTAAGGATAAGAACTGTATTAAATTGCATACCTGCAGGCTATACAATTTATAGGGTAGATTTTGTCTTCCCAGTTTGCATAATTATGAAGCTGCTTTTCTGGTTTGTTCGTGTTTTGTAGCATCCTAATACAATTATAATTCTTACAACTGAGCATATTCCTTGGCGATTCAATTGCTTTTACCGTTTTTTATAAAACGACGTTATGATTATGTCGCGGGAAAAATGAATAAAGGAAATATTTTCTGGAGCACCAGCGTATCTACTGGAGAGACTGTCATGTCACTGAATAGCCTACAGAAGTTTGCTGCTACCAGGAAGCGGCGTCTTTCATTACAACCAACAGAAACATCTTCAAATTCGGCACACACTTCAACATCCAACAGATGTGACTCTAAAACGTCAGTTGTAAGCCAAACATTTTGGAGTCGTTTCTATAGTTTAGAATGCCAGCTAAATGATGATTTGCTAAGTATTGAAATACCATCAAGTATAACACATGTTTACAATCCATTGGTTTATGCCTCAAATTTACACTGCGCTTACTTGGAAAAATTCTTGGATGGACCAAAGCGAGTTGTTTTCGTGGGCATGAATCCTGGTCCGAATGGAATGGGTCAAACTGGTGTACTGCAATTAAATGCTATTCTGGAGTGATAAATTTAAGATTTTTCTTTATGTTCTAGGTACCTTTTGGTAACATCTTAACTGTTCGTAATGAAATGGGATTGTCTGGTGCGGTTCTGCAACCGCCTTCGGTACATTTGAAGCGTCCTGTGGACGGCTTAGAGTGTACAATTGAAGAACCAAGTGGTGTGCGAATATGGGGTTTATTCAAAAAACTGGCGGGTGGATCGCTGATGACTTTTGGGAAAAATTGCTTTGTACATAATTTTTGTCCGTTAATTTTTTACGACAAGGGCGGAAGAAACATTACTCCCAGTGAGTTGAAGGTAAAATAATTAATATTTTTAATAATGATTTTGCAAATTCATTAAGTGATTTTCATATAGGGAGATTATAAAGCAATTATTGGAAAGTTATGTTTGGAGGCACTTGATAAGGAGCTGGATTTGTTACAGCCGGAGATATTAGTGCCAATAGGAGAGTATATAAATGGAATAATCAAACGTTCTCGACATATCAATTCTCTTAAAATTTGCAAACTTCATCATCCAAGTCCTCGTGCATTGAATAATCAGAATTGGCCTGAAAGGGCCGAAGAACTTTTACACAAATTTGATCTAGTTAAGTATATTAGCAATGGAGTGTAGTACCCAAGAATGATAGGAATATAATCTATTATTTTTATATCGTACGTCTATACATATGTACATACGTGCATGCGTATGTTAAATAAATCTGACATCTAATCAGTATCTACAGTACAAACTAAGCAATGTGCTTGAAAAATTAAGCTAATTTGTATCAAAGTGATATGTATTATTTTTTTTAAAAGGAAATTTAAAAATTCAATTTTGTTTTATAAAGAAACTTATACTCGAGTTGATTGCATTGTTTTGATGGAATTAAACTATATTATTTTTTGTGCAAATTCTCAAAATTGAAAATATGAATGAATTAAAATTTTTTTATGAAAGTAAAATAAATGACATTATAATATATATGAACATTTAATTAGTAACATGTATAGGTTGATTCATCCATGCATTTTTTTCAAGTGGCATAAATATTTATTAAAACTTTTACTTATTGAAAACACCGAACCTGGAGTACCCTTCATAAATAAAAAAAAATTTCCATACAAGAAATCGATTTTGACCGGTCGATTTGTATGACAGCTATCTGCTACAGTGATCCGATCTGAAAAAATTATTCGGAGATTAAAGCGTTGCCTCAAATAATATTATATGCCAAATTTCGTGAAGATATTTTGTTAAATAAAAATGTTTTTCACACAAGAACTTGATTTTATTCGGTAAGTTTGTAGGGCAACTATATGATAAAGTGGTCCGATATCGGCGGTTCCGACAAATGAGCAGCTTCTTGAGGAAAAATGGACGCGTGCAAAATTTCAGATCGGTATCCCATAAACTTAATATACCCTATTCAAGTTATAATTAATATTGTACAAAGTCGAGGTTTGGACAAACTGTACCATAGTTGTATTTCAGAGGGTATACTGTCTGGTGAAATACTTAAATATTTATATCCTATTTCAATAATTGAAAGTTTTCACCACCTTTGTTTTACCACAGTTGCCAGCTGATTATTTGAACATTGTGAATGGTTATGGTGCGATAAAAAGCGCATTTGTGAATAAAACAATAAGTTGATTGTAAACAAAAAGGTTCTGGATTATTTAGTTATAAGTATTTAATGCAAATAATATTAATATAATATTTTCTTTTTAAATTAGTTTATGGAGCAGTTTATGAGCGAAGCACTCATAGAAGCTAAAAGTGTGCTGGAGGCTGGCGAAGTACCCGTGGGCTGTATTTTCCTTTATCATGGCAAAAAGAGCGAAGTGATTGCGCGCGCTGGAAACAATGTAAACGCAACCAAAAATGCAACACGCCATGCGGAGTTTCTTTGTATAGACAAAACTTTGGACTTCTGCAAACAGAACAGCTTGTCTTTCGTTGATGTTTTTCCAAAAATCAGTGTTGTGGTCACTGTCGAGCCATGTATTATGTGTTCAGCCGCCTTGCATGATTTGGGAGTAAAAGAGATTTTATATGGCTGCGCAAATGATCGTTTTGGTGGCAAAACACTAGTGGATGTGCCGTTTCTTACGAACAGAACAGACGGACAAACTCAAGTAAATGGTGGTTTTTGTGCAGATAAAGCAATGGCACTCTTGAAAGATTTTTACAAAGGTGATAATCCTTCAGCCCCAATAGCTAAAGTAAAGAGATGAAAATTACATAAATTATATGTAATATAGTATTTTTTATGAATATATGGAGACAAAATTAACTGTGAAAGACATTGTGATACCTACTAGATGACATTTAGTGAAAGAATAGGTACTGAATGAAAGTTGGGTACATCAAGTTTGCCGCAAAGTTTGTAATACCCACAAGGCGACGTCGAAGACCCTATAAAGTGCTACTGTTTAATTTTTACATCTCGAAACTCCCCCAGCCACCAGCGGGAATTTCAATGACCTCGTACGCAGATGACTGTACGATATTGACGTCGGGCAATGGAATCGATGGCATGTGTTCAAAAGTAAACGGCTACCTCTCCGATCTTTCTCGCTTCTTTTCTGCAAGGAACTTAACACTCTCCCCCACTAAATCCACAGCGACCATCTTCACCAATTGGACGAAAGAGTACAGACTGGACCTGAACATTTCAGTCGATGGCACAAAAATTCCGACAGTAAATAACCCTAAAATTTTAGGCGTCACTTTGGACAGTCTGTGCTCTTTCACTCCTCACACGACCGCGATAACTGCCAAAGTACAGAGCCGCAACAAAATCCTCAAGTCGCTTGCCGGCAGCTCATGGGGAAAGGACAAAGAAACGTTGTTGGCAACTTACAAGGCAATCGGCCGGCCGGTCCTCAATTATGCAGCCGCAATATGGTCGCCTGGATGTAGTGACACGCAGAATAAGAAGCTCCAGACTTGTCAGAACACTGCACTCCGGACTATCACGGGGTGCCTCTTGATGTCCCCAATCGAACACCTACACAGTGAGGCCCGTATGCTTCCGGTTAAGGAACATAATGAGCTCCTCTCCAAGCAGTTTCTGCTGGGATGTTTTCGCAGAAACCACCCCTGCAGACGCCTGCTTGCAGCGGAGCAGCCTCCTAGGAACATCAAGAGGTCCTTCCTTGACTACGTCGACGACATCAGACAGCACGTCGACCAGACTTCGGACGCAACTAACTTCAGACAAGCACTGACCGCCATTCACAGTGGAGCCATTAACACCTTCACCGACTCCCTTTCAGTGAATGGCGTAATACGAGTCAAACCACCACCCATTGCAGACACAGAGCTCGAGTTGCCTCGCGAATCTAGAGTGACCCTCGCGCAACTTCGTTCTGGATACTGTAGCAGGTTAAACTCCTACCTATCCAGAATAGACCCCGACATACTAAACACATGTCCTGCATGCAATGAGTCTCCGCATGACACTAACCACCTCTTTGCATGCCCTACAAACCCCACTCATCTAACACCCCTTTCCCTATGGTCCGACCCCGTCGAAACAGCTCGTTTCCTGGGCCTTCCGTTAGATGACCTCGACGACAACGAATCTAGAATTTATCACCCTAACGGGGATTAGATAATCGTTATAACAACAACAACAACCCTATAAAGTGCCATTTCCACGACAGTAGGGTCTACGTAACCGGAACGGACCCGGATTTATTTCGGCCGAGGACTGTCAACTCGGCAGAATTCTGCCGCTACAACAACAACAACAAGAACCCTATAAAGTACACAGGTAGCATTACGAGTTGAGTACATTTAGCCATATCCGTTTGTTTGTCTGTCGACCTGTCTGTCTGTATATACGCGAACTAGTCCCTCCGTTTTTGGGACATCGATCTGAAATTTCGCATAAGTCCTTTTCTTCTGAAGAAGCAAGTCTGAACCGCCGATATCGCACCACTAAGAATATACCACAAAATTTGGCATAGATTGTTGCCCGAGGCAACGCTAAAATCTTAGAACTAATTTTTTAAAACGAACCACTATCGCATATAGCGTTATACCAAATATGCATTATATACAGTTAACGCGTGATCCATACCTAAATAAACAGGTCACCATTATGATTAGTGGTTTATACCGACTTGAGCAATGAGCGAAACGCAAAAAACCCCACTGTTCTCTATTTGCACGTATAGCCAATGTTTTTAGCAGACCTAAAGAGCATTTATATTCTCTCTGATATTGTTGGTAACCCACTTAACATGTCTCAGATTTGTGTTGCCTACTTGTTGGTATTTTCTGTGTACAAATAAACTTTCTTCCATGCATAGTTTTGATAATTTTATATTTGTACATGTGCTTTTTTTGTTTACGCGCAGTCAGCCGGAAGATGTATGAGTAGGTCCCTTCGTATGTTGTTGGTTGACTGTTTAGTGAGCTGGTTGTGTCGTCCAAACTTGGATTGATTCTTTCCGGTGAACATTTTGCGCGAAAAAAAACGTGATCAAAGCAATTAATTAGCCGAACACAGAAATCCTTTTTTTTGTGGCGTTGCCATCATGGTGCTGGTCCATGGTCACGTTATACATACGTCTGTATATATACACATAGTATATAAATGTGCATGCATCTATGTATGTGCATATACATACATATGTATAAACAGCGCTGCTTGATTTTGTGGAAAAATTTTAATTGGCAATTGTTGTGCGCTTTGTTTGGTCATAAAAATTCCTCTCTGCAAAGTATGCTCAACGGCCAGGCCGTACTCTTGATAGGATACTTACCTTCTAAAGTATGTATCTACAATGAGCGGGTTCATATAGTAACAAACCAAAAGTTATATAAGTATGTATGTATGTAAACCATTTAGATATGTACATACATATGAACAGCGTATAAATATGTTAATAATTATTATAGTACTATGTACTAACAAATCAATAAATAAAAAAAAATTATTTATTTCCAATTTGAAAACAATAACGAAATAAATTTGTTAAAAAATTTGAAATATTCATAAATATTTTAATATAAATTCGTGGTAAATGGAGAAAGTATTATTTTTCAAATGCAGCATTGCACACTTAAAGCAAGTAAGGAAGTCTGGGCGCGGTCGGAATCGTTCGTTGTTTACTCGTGAAATTTGTGATGCTTTATATTTATGTTAATATTACATGATTTTTGCACCTCCAAATCCGTTGTGCAGGCTGCCGATATCAGATTACCCCCTGGAGACTTTCTAATCTTGACGTATTGAACCATGTTGAAATTAACGCTTATTCGAGTAGGTAGGTTTTCCGCTGTAGTTATAAGCATAAAGCGGGAGCTTAGTTGAAACAAGCGTCGTGCCTACGACATGAGCCTACCAACTCATGTTGGGGTTGGTTATGCATTAAAGCATAGGTTATTGAATGTCGCCATAATATTCACCGTGTCGCTACCAAGATATAGACACACATAATTAATGAATAATTAAATGCAATCCAAAACCTCTGAGATTCTGCTCGCTGCCCGGGACTGCTTAATTGTTATTCGTAGCTAACCTTTATATCTAAATGCCTTTCACTATCCGGAATCTCGGCAAACGCATATTACCCCACATCTATATATTATATATACAATATATAGTGAATGAAAGATTTCGAATTATAATAAAAAGCTGTTTGCGTTCAATTCCAATATCTAGGTGTCGAAAAGATATCTAATTAATCATCTGATATATAGAATGTTTAACACATTGTCCGACATCTATAGAAATTTCCAAAATTTGGCACAATTCCTTTTTTTCCCAGGAAGCTGCTCATTTGTCGGAACGCCGATATCTAACCACTATAGCACATAGCTGGCATACAAACTAACCATTCAATTAAGATATAAAACTGTAATTTGGTAAAGGGAATTACAGCAACAAGAAGCTCTTGTGGGCTAAAATTTTTGAATAAATGGGCGTGGCTCCGTGATCTAAGAGGTTTATTGTATATATCTTTTAAACCACTTAAGGTACAATACCCTCAACTTAAACATCTCTACCGGCACTGTAAAAATGGTTGGAAATGGGTGATCACGCCGCCCACTCGCCATATAACGGTTCTGTTAAAAACTACTAAAAGCGCGATAAATCTCAGGACCTACTCGATCTATAGCGACCAAATTTGGTATGTAATATTATCTTGACATTCCTATGCTCCATATAACACAGCTTTAAAAGACTTCTGATGCTTTCACTTTCCAGTATACAAACAAAGCACCAATGAATATAACGGAATGAAACTTTGCACGAATAGTGCCTTTGAAGTGATCTTGTTACCAAAAACTTTCCAAATCAGACTAAAACTATTCAATCCCCTGGATACCGTAAATGTGGACCCCAGTACCAACAGCGAACATTTTATCGAAAGTATCGGTAAATCTGTGAGATACATATATCATAGAAATTCGAAGGGAATCCTTTTCGGATAATAATATGTCTGTACGTCAAAAATGTGTTGTATTAGCCCTAGTAAACCTAATAGAAGGATTTTCGAACTACCGTCTGACATTATATCGCATATATCGGCAAATAAGTAAGATTTTTTAAAAAACTTGACTGAACGTATAATATTGGATATACTTGTAGTTTAATGCCGGAAAATTGAATGAAATTAGTTTACAATGGGTAATTTGTAATATTTACCATATACTAAATATATTGAACTTCGGTGTTCTAACAAATTTCCATGGCTTTGGTCCTTGCAAATTGTAAGAGTATAAAATGTTAGCGTACACTCGAACTTAATCCTTCCTTACTTGTTTTTTTCTTTGTTTTTGCCGACTAGACTCGCTTAGACGATTCTAGAGCCAAACCAGGATGAAATATTACCGAATCATACATAATGGAATCTTCAATGTATTTATTACACAACAAAATGCTCATACCCATAAATAAAATTTTTTTGCATTTTTGATTTCTTCACTTTTTATCATTGGCTTCTGAAGAATGCGCAACACCATAAAATTCAGACGGCTTGTTAAAATTCCTCAACTTGACGATTTTTTGTCATCGTAGTAATTATAAGGGCAGAGAAGTGTACATATTCTTGCAAACTAACATAGGTATAAACAAAAATAAAAGCTAAAGAGAAATACAAGAAACATCCGAACGAGACAGTTATCTTCAGTCGCGCACGTAGTAAAGTGTAAAAGATGGATGGAACAGACAACACTAGCCAGGACGAGGTGACTTGACATTTCCGCGTATGGATTTTTTGTATTTCATTTGCAATCAATGAAATGGAACGAGTGATGACCGACGCCTGCCGCCAATTAAAGAA